TCTGCAACTTATTCAGAAGAAAGTGCCACTGAGTTCAATAGGATTTGCTTACAACTAGCAGCCAATTGTATCATGAGCACAAAGAAAACCCATCTGCGGCAGTTCCTTATATCCCAGAGGAAGAGCAAAACCAAAGGTCAAATGTGACAATGCGCTCCTGGGATTAGCAGACCACAGCCAAGCAACAGGAACAGTCCCATAAATTCAGGCTTCCCTTTACAATTTTACTAGACAGATCAATGGTAGATCATAGACAGATCAAAGACTAGACAGATCATACACTGACATTTCAGAGTCCTATTTTCAGCCAATGCTCATGTAGAACACTCGCTGTCTGCTCATTTAGAGCAGAGATGGATTTCATAAACAGTCCCTCTGGATTGCTTGTGATTAGTTCCATATAATAGAGATGACAAATCAATGTAAGCTTCCTTTAGGCAACATTGCAGCTCTCTCAGCCATGCGATATGGAGGTGCTGACAGGGAAGGTGTGGCAGCCCCAGGGCATGCTGGGGAAAGAGCAGCAGGAGGTCTGACTCAAGACTGGCAGATGCATCTCAGCTCTCCATATGTGACCTGCCACTTCTCTGAAAGTGCCCTGTCCTAGCTTTTGCCACAATGACCTTACCTTACCTGTTGGACTGCAGCCTAGAGCAAAGGAGTGAAATGCTGATTAGGGGCTCCCCAATATTGTAAGGGTGGGGTGTTTGAAACCAGCAGGTGGGATGATACCCTTTGAAGCAGTAAGTTGCCTGCCAATTGTTATCCTTACATGGGAATGTAGACTAGAAAATGATGGGGAACATTCACTGCCATTATGCATATTTAATCAAAGAGTATTATTATTAAATAAGGAGTCAATCAAATAATAAAGGAAAAGTCCAGTTTACATGTTAGGGAACCTCACCTGGGGCACAATTATTAGTGTCTCAAATCCACTGAATATCAGAATGCTGAAAATGATACTTAGATGTTGCCAACACTCACACCTGCATTTCCTGATTTTTAGACATTTCACAATCCTGGATTGTCAGTAGTCACTTATAAATGCTGACAATCATCACATTTATGACATCCATTGCAACACAAGTGCTACAGCACACACCACTTCTATCAAAAGCCGTAGTGCCGGCTGCTAATTTTCTCTGCGTGGTTTTACAGAAAATAACTGGGGTATTGGATATAACAACTTCTGAGACTTCTCCAGCGTCACTTCATTTAAAAAAGATATCAGAGACCAATGCCTGCCAACAGCCACAGCAGTCACTGCAGTACATAGCAAACAGAAGGGTTCCTGTTTATGCAAGCCACAGGGGGTCTCTGAAGATGAAGTTAATTACATGAAAACATAGGGGGGGGCTGTTTAAAAAACCAGTTTTTCTTGGCACTTTGGTAGGGTCACAAAATCAGACACTTGGAAGTAAACTCAATATTTCGCAGCACAATTCAAAGTGTTGGTGCTGACCTTTAAAGCCCTTAACCGCCTCAGTCTCCACCCCCATCATTCAGCTTGGACACTGAGGTCCTCCTCCAAGGGCCTTCTGGCAGTTCCCTCACTGCAAGAAGTGAGGTTACAGGGAATCAGGCAAAGGGCCTTCTCGGTAGTGGCGCCCACCCTGTGGAATGCCCTCCCATCAGATGTCAAGGAAATAAACAACTATCTGATTTTTAGAAGACATCTGAAGGCAACCCTGTATCAGGAAGATTTTGATGTCTAACATTTTGCTATTTTTTATATGTGATGTAAGCCACCCAGAGTGGCTGGGGAAACCCAGCCAGATGGGTGGGGTATAAATAATAAAATTATTATTATTATTATTATTATTATTATTATTATTATTATTATTATCTATTTACACAGTGGAAAGCCCAGTACAGTATAGGCATGGGAAGCTGTGTCAGACCACTGGTTCATCTCGTTCTCTATTATCTCTGTAATGACTGCAGGGCTGGATTTAGGTTTGCTGAGGCTCTAAGCTACTGAAGGTAATGGGGCCCTTTATATGTCCACCTGTCCTTTGTCAACAACAAACTGTCACTGTTTTTTGTGTTGAATATATGCTATATGGCAGGCACATCCAACTTCCAAGAGACTGAGATCTACTGCCACTGTAAAAAATACTGGCAGTGATCTACCCATTGGATTGACCAGAGTTGTTGAGCTTTCTTTTGGGGGGGGGGAGGGAGAGTGAGCCAAACTTGGTTTTTTTAGGGGGGCGGTTATCAGGATCCCACGACCAACCAAGATTGACCAGGGACACTCTGCAATCAACCAGTATATCATGATCAACTTGTTGGACATCCCTGCTATATGGTAATTTATAGGCCCATTACTTACATCATAGGAGCCTACACAACACAAAACACTGTTGCTGTATGTAGGTTTCATTTTATTTGTTTTTTATCTTATATTTTGGAAATGTACATCCAGTGTTGTTGTTTTCTTTAATTTTTTGTGGGGCCCTAATCTATAGCTTGTTTAACTTATGGTATACGTAAATCCGGCACTGAATGACTGGCAGCAGCTCTGTGGGGTTTCAGGCAGCTTGCTTCTCCCAGTATTATCTTCCGCATGCAAAGCACATAGAATCATAGAATTGGAAGGGACCCTGAGGGTCATCTAGTCCAACCTCCTGCAATGCAGGAATATGCAGTTGTCCCTTGCGGGTATTGAACCTGCAACCTTGGCATGATCAGCAGCACACACGTTCTACCACTAAGCTATTTTCCTTTCCTGATACCTGATGGTGTCCACATTTGCTTCCAGATTTTTTTTTTTGGGGGGGGGGTTAATACAAGAGAGGTTTAACAATCAATCCCTCTTCACAGGGAACATTGGGGATTACAGCTGCTGGAGGGGAACAGTCGTCTCCAAACAAGTCTCGGCACCTTTAGCAAACTACAGCCCCCAGAATTCTTTGGGGAAAGCCATGACTGTTTAAAATAGAATCATAGTGCTTCAAATATATGGTGAGCACAGGTATGTCTGAGTTAAAGAGTTCCTTTTATTTTTCAGGATTTTGCTCTGTTCCCTTTGTGCTCTCCCTTGTCTTTTTTATTCCTAATAAATGTTATATAATTTGACAAGTGGTGTCTTGCTGCAATGCTGCCAGCTCACAGGGTTGGGAAAAACCTCTCAGGAGCCTAAGCCTTGAAGTTCTTAGGAAATGCAGGTTGATAGAGAAAAGCAGGCCGTTCTGATCTTGGGGAAAGACAGGGAGCTCCCTGAGTAAACTGAGAGGGATTGACTAAGCAGCATAGGGTCTGCTGTGTCTGCTCCTTTGACCTCCCAGACTTTACTCTGTAGAGGTTAAGAGGGGCATAGTGGCCGTGATTTCTGGATCATTTGAGAGATGTGACTGGCCTGCCTTGCCAGGCAGTTGTGCAACAAATGGTGTAAGCAGGCTCTTTTAGCCTGCCCCTTACAACAGAGACTGTCTAAAGCCTTGTACTGTTATTCGATATTGCACAAAGCTGTTTAGCGTTCTGAGAGGATAGAGGCACAGCCAATTTGAGTATTTATTAGCCAGGGTCTGGATCAGGGAGGAAGTAACTGAGTTGGTCTAAAAGGCTGTCTTTTTTAAATGTCTTACCAGTAAGCTGTGTTCTAAAGTTAGCTGAACTCTCTAAGCGGCCAGGAGAAATTTTACAAAGGCAGAGGATCCCCAGTAGTTGCACTGGGTTGTGGAAGTATTTGGCTGGGCTAGAGGTTTAAGGAATTTGGCCGGAGGTAAAACCAGCGAAAAACTAGTGTCATCAAGCCACTTTAAGACCTGAACGTAGGTCTCTGTATCCCCTTATAAGCCTAGCACCCACCTTAATAAACCAACAATCTTTGTTCAAACTTCATCCTGTCTCTTGCGTAGGTGTCCATCTCATGCCTAAGCCTTCTACACAAGCTACAATGGTTTATTGAGTAAATAATGATGGCAGAAAATTAGCAAAGCACAGACACCTAAGCTTGTGTTTATACAAGTGAGATTGAAGGGCTGGGTCTCCCTGACACAGATGTCAACAGAAAACTTTTCCCATTAGTAAACAGTCCTCTACAATACACAGTACAGTGGTACCTCTAGATGCGAACGGGATCCGTTCCGGAGCCCCGTTCGCATCTAGAAGCAAACGTAACCAGCGAGGCATGTCTGCGCACGCACACGTCGCTTTTTGCCGCTTCTGCGCATGCGTGTGACATCATTTTGAATGTCTGCGCATTCGCGAGCGGCGAAACCCGGAAGTAACATGCTCTGTTACTTCCGGGTTGCCGCGGAGCGCAACTCGAACCCGCTCATCCCGAAGCACATTCAACCCGAGGTATGACTGTACTGTATTGGAAAATCCCTGCCTGTTCACTGTATGCACTCATGTTTATATATTTGTGTTAATCTCCTGACAATAATTAAGCTTTCAAGGTTAACACAGCATTCAAAGAAGCTACTTTTTGAAGGGTTGAATGCGGACTCAAAAATCAACAGCTCTGCATATGAACCTGAACACTGAAGAATTCAGTTGCATATCTGGCATATTTCAACTAAAGGGTTGGGACTGAGTCCTGATTAGGATATACCCAAATTTGGTGGTGCTGGCAAGTGAAGTGAACAGGCGTGCAGCCCCTCGTGATAACACAATAACATGTAGCAATATTCTTGACAGCAGCTGAAACTCTTTCTTCCTTTCTTTTGCAAGTTTGTTCCTGTTCATAATTTTAGTGGCACATCCTATTATTATATACAAAATGCTTTAAAATCTTTATATTTTATTCATATGTTAAAAGTTCAAATTCAGTAGTTTCATGTAGTCTGAAGTCCTTGTACCATCAAAAGAGAGGGAGGGAGGGAGAAATTCCAGGAAAACACATGGAACATGGAGCTGCAGGAATGCTGTCCTCATTTACTACCCTAATCGCCTGAAGATCTGCAATTGAGGCTGAAATCTTAAACACACTCATTCCCACTGAATACACAAGTGACTGACTTCTGAGAAAGGATTGAGGATAAATTTGATCCAGTATACATTGCATGTTTGTTTGTTTGTTTATTTAAAGCCCAATCTGTCAAACAATATCGAAATACAGCTTATCCGTTCCAATTCACCCTTATCTGAATTTTCCATTGTAGTTCTCCGACCAAACAATGTTTACAAAAATGCATTCTATTAGGGGAAATTGCTTGCAAAATGTGTACATGAGTTAAAACTGTTTATAAAAATGTTTGAACTAAAATGTGGTGAATTTTCATGAGGCTTTTTTAAAAAGAAAAATAGCAAATTGTTGCAAAATGTGGACTGGATTGGAAAAAAATAAGAAATAAAATTGTCATATCCTCGCATCCCTGCTTCCAAGTAAACATGCATTGGTTTGTGTTCCGGGTTTTCCAACTGGCAAGGAAGGAACCATTTTAATAAGACCTAATAAATTACACACACTCATTAAAAAAGAGTTGTAAATATTGGCAAAAATGTCTTCAGTTGTAGGATTTCGGGCAGAGGTTGATTTCTCTCTGGGTAGAAATCCAGACCCGTCAGAAGCTCCACATCACGGACACGAGCTGTATGAGTCTGAATTCTTTCTTCAACCCACAGTGATTCCGGCTGCCCATCCTGACAAAGCAAACAAACACAAGAACATCAATTGTGCATCAGCAGGCAAAAAAACAATGTTGCAGTAGTGCAAGGAATTTCTGCATACAAATGCCTTACAACTTTATTATTTTCCCTAATTAAATTTCTGTCACTGTGGACTGGGGTAACTAGGCCGTGGCAATCTGCTGAATGTTTCCTTTGCCCTTGGAACTTGTTCACTATCTTTTAACAGTTTCCTTACAACAGTACAATGAGCTATGACTTATCAGAATGAACAAACACAGCAAGTCCTTTATGCCATATTTGGGAAGAGGGAGGGGTAGGCTGAAGGCAAATGCTACAAGCAAAAACTACTTTTTTTTTACTTCAGCTATTGGCACTACCTAGTTAATGCTTAACAGTATGCCAAATGCTGACCCTCGGAGCAGAAATCATATACACATTTTCAGATGCTTTGAACAGCCACCGAGCAGCATATCTCCCCTCTGGATACTGTGCATTACCATCATCCAGCTGTTATGCTTTTCTCCTTTTAAATGCCACCACAGCCAGACTTCCGGAGGCAGCGCGAAACGGCAATGGCGGTCCTCTTCGCGCTGTGAAGAGGGGCTCCGCAGAAAACGGTCGTCCGCTACGGCAAAGCGGAGACCCATCAAGAAAAACCACAGGCAGAGTGAGCCTGTGGCCGTGGGACTCGGCGGGCGCCTAAAGCCCCCCCAGAAACGCAGAAGGGACCCCGTAAGGGGCTCCGGAACGTGAAAGGGGGAGCAGCGCTGTGAGTTCATCGCTCTTTCTGCGGAGACAAAGCCGCGCGGCTGCTGCTGCTGAGCGCTGACCTTTCTTCTTGGAACATCAGATCCTTAACTACAACCCGTGAGTAAGAGAACTCCAAATTTTGGGACTAAAATATTTTAATTTGGCTGAAAACGGGAGGCGCAACCAGGAAGTCCACCCCCGACTGTGCTAAAGAGATCAAAGCAAAAGTTTTAACAAGCGGGAAGCGCTTGGAAAAGAACTGTTAAAAGGATTGGATTATCGTGCAAATAATTGAGTGTTTGACTGAGAAGGTAAAAGAGACAATTTTGGAGCTTTTATATTGAATTTGAGACCGGATTTGCCCTCTACCTTTTGGATTTATAAATAATTGAGGAAGCCCAAGCCTCGGGCTGCCAGATAAAGAAGAACTGTCAAATTGCTGAAACTGTATCTAACTTTGAAGTGCTGCATATAAATGTTACAATTTGGAAGAAACAAAGAAACTGCCTCTTGCACCCTATTTGAGACTTAGTATAAGTTTGAGGAAAGCTTTACAGGCTGAAGGAAAATTAAAGGTTTCCCCAGCCACTCTGGGTGGCTTCCAACTGAATGTTAAAAACAGTACAGCATTAGACATTAAAAACTTCCTAAAGAGGGCTGCCTTCAGTTGTCTTTTAAAAGTAAAATAGTTATTTATTGCTTTGACATCTGGTGGGAGGGCGTTCCACAGGGCAGGCACCACTACCGAGAAGGCCCTCTGCCTGGTTCCCTGTAACCTTATTTCTCGCAATGAGGGAACCGCCAGAAGGCCCTCGGCGCTGGATCTCAGTGTCCGGGCTGAACGATGGGGGTGGAGGCGCTCCTCCAATGCCGCCTTGGTGCTTTTTCAAAAGGAAAGTATTACTTTATAAACCAGCACTAGGGCATTGTGATGGGGAGGCATAACTGATAACGCTTTTTTGCCAGCTGTGTCAATTTCACTGGAGAGCAGAATTGGACAGCGTGTCCCAGATGCCCACAGTCAAGAAATACGATAAACCAAGCAAGAGATGGCAATGCACTTCAGATAAATTACATCTGTTCACAACTGGCACAACTTTTCTTTAGCAACCATTTAAAAATCTAATTCCTGCTTATTCAAAACTGCATCTCTGACGTTCATGCATATATACTAACACAGGAATTGGGGAATTGTAGCCCTCCAGATGTGGTGCATTCCTAAGTCATGCAGGCAATGAAGATCAGGGGTTAGAATTGTTCTGTTAGGGCTCATCCACACTTTCACTTGTCCAAGTGATTTTCCACTTCTGCCACACATTCTAGGCATGGGTCTGAACAGTTTTACTTTCCCCCCACCATTTCCCCTGGAAAACCTGCTCTTTAGTGATAAATTAGAATAATAACAATTCACTTAAAACCCAATTGCTGTTTGTACCAATTCAGCACTAAAGATCAGCTTTTCCCGGGGAAAAGCGGTGGGAAAATGGAGGTGTAGATAAGTCCTTAGTCTCTTATCCACTATGTCACAAGTGGTCTGAATAACAGAGGGCATATGTCACCTAATTTGTGCTTTATGTGCAATTCTTCCAAAATATTTAATATTGAACACAATCACTGTCAGTACGTTGAGAGTCAACTGCAATGATCTCTTAAGCTAGGCCTTGTGTTGGATTTTTACTGGGCACTAAAGACTTCTCAGATGGCCACATTTGTAGAAACCCCATCTCCAATAAGAAGAGCAGGGGCATGTGAAGTGAATGTTATACTTACACCACAGCTCTCAGAGTTGTCGGGCCGATGAGGAAGGATGAAGGGCAGGACACTCAGTGAGCCTGAGCAACTCAGTGGGGTGTTGGTTTGGTTCTCACAGCTAGTCAGTACAACAAAGTAATGGGTTGGGATGGGGATCTGTGAATTGCCTACATGCCTGTGAAAGGAGATCAATCAAAGGCTGTTTACCAAAATCTATACTTTTTGTAAAATTATATTCATACCATTTCACCCTGTGGAAATATTATGGAGAATAGCTCCAAAACTGGAAGCAGAAGGAAATCAGCACTTGTTAGGTAAGATTACACTGTCTGTGTTAACAGATACTGCATTACTTACCAGCATTTTCAGCTCAGTAACTGACAGCACATCTGTACATATTATCAAGTTCCTTGAGGACGGTGGCGCTGTGGTAAAAGCCTCAGCGCTGGCTTGCGTCGAAAGGTGGCGGTTGAATCCAGCGGGGGTGCGTCGTTGTCGTCCAGCGCCTGCACCTAGCAGTTGAAGACTCTGTGAGTAGATATAGGGACGCTTATAGCGGGGTACGTGTTTCCGTGTGTGGTCTGGTGCCAGCAGCGATTCGCTGTACATACAGCGCTGCCCCCGCCTTTGAGTGAGATCGGCGCACAACCAGAGTCTGTCAAGACTGCCGAACGGGCAGGTACCTTTACTTTTTAACTCCCATTTAATTCAGTTGGGTTTACTTGAGGCAAGTGGGTATGGGATTGAAATTGTGAATCATTGTGGATTGATATTCTGTCCAAAATTTTAACCAACAAAGGCATACAATTTTAGCAGTTTTTTAGATTGGAAAATTCCTTTGGTGTGCATGGTTGTATGTGGGGTCAAAAGGCTGAAAGAACTAAACCTCTGCCTTTTCATTGCATTTCACTGATTTTCTATTTTTTTAGTTGAAACTGTATTAACATTTAACAAGAAACAATAATTGAAAAGGAACTGTGAGAGTAAAATTCTGATGCCCCTGGAATTAGTTTTCTTATCAATCATACAAAGAAGATTCCATTAGCTGAAACTGAAGCAGTGTCACAGATACTCATGCAAATGCAGTCCTTAATGCATAGGGTAATTCCTGTAAGAGCTCTCTCTTCAAAAAGTGGGTAGGGTTATCTTGCCATGACTAACTTTGTACAGATTTTGGTCTGTTTATAAAAGCTTTTAAACAGCACAGTGTGGCTGACAGGATATTAAAGCCGTTTGACTGGAAGGAAGCTCTCGTCTGTCATCTCATCCATCCACCTACATTGTGGCAGAAATTCTTTCCCTCTGTCCAAACCATATTTGAAAAATGTGGCATCAAGTCTAGCCTAGAAAACAGCAAATCCAGTAAAACCCGGACCATAAACCTATTTGCATAGCCAAATTGTCCAGAACTTGCAAATATTCTTTACAAAACTGGTAGCTGGCAAGAAATTATCCCGGGTCCATTAGAGAGCATATCAAACAGATCAGCAGAACTCCATACTCCAGAAGACATCTGAAGGCAGCCCTCTTTAGGGAAGCTTTTAATGTTTGATGCATTACTGTATTTTAATATTTTGTTGGAAGCTGCCCAGAGTGGCAGGGGAGGCCCGGCCAGATGGGTGGGGTATAAATAATAAATTATTATTATTATTATTATTATTATTATGGATTTGCTGCATAGGAGCTAACTCCTAGGGGCCATGGGGCCCACAATAAAATATTTGAGGGGGCCGGGCCCCCACAAAGTTGATGGGCATTCCCATTCAAATAGTGTGTGCACTGCGTCAAATATGTGGGGTGGGGCTTACCTGGGGCCCCACAATATTTCATTCAAGTTGGCCCCCCTGATTTGTAGGTAAATTGTGGTCTGCAATGCAGCTGTTGTTCCCAGAGGAAAGATCCAGGGAGTGAGGCTGGAATTATTCTATTCTATTCGAGCCAGATGCTGGTATCAGCCAGCCCACATTGGATCGTTGGCATCCATTTGTCTCAAGAGACAATGGAGGAGTGTGTCTTTGGGGGTGAAGTCAAACTGCTGGAGAGTTACAGTGCCTGCTGTGGCTGTAGAGACCAATACATGTTTTCTTGCAGCAGGGCCAGATTAAAGGCGTCCAGTTGTGCTGCTGCAGATGCACCATGGCGTTTCTTCTCTCTGCGCTCCTTCCAGCGGACATCCCTCCTCTGGTCACTGCTATGGATGTACAACCTGATTGTCAGTCTCCAGGCACTGCAGTCGTCTGCAAGGGATTCCCACACGGTGGGGCTAATGTCGCCAGCCTTCATGTTATGCTTGCAGACATATTTGCAGTGCAGAGTTGGTCTGCCAATGGGCCTGGTGCCTGAACCTAGCTCCCCATAGAGCACATCCTCGGGAATCCTGCCATCTTCCATTCTGTGGACATGACTAAGCCAGTGTAGACGTCATTGAGACAAGAATGTGAACATGGTGGGAATGTGATGCCCCAAATCCTCCAGATGCAGCACATGTGGAAGGCATTGAGGTGTCGCTCCTGGCAGTGCCCACAACTCACTTCCATAAAACAGTGTGCTCAACATACAAGCCTGGTAGACCTTCATCTTTGTATTGGACATTAGCATCACATTCTCCTATACCCCTTTGGAGAGGCATTGCCGCAGCTGCCTTGCCAAAACACCTGTCTATTCTTTTCAAGCCAGATGTTGGTATCAGCTGGCCCACATACAGCCATTCATTCTACATGGTATAACTTGATTTCTTGGCTGACTTGTGACTGAGAACCTGCTGCAACTCGCTTAAAATCTAGCATGGGGTTTCCCAGACTTAGGTTTCCAGCTGTTTATGGTCTACAGTTCCCATCATCCCTGACCACTGGTTCTGCTAGCTAGGGATGATGGGAGTTGTAGTCCAAAAACAGCTGGAGACCCAAGTTTGGGAAACCCTGAGCAGATGGCAGACTGGCTATTGTCTGTAAGCCACTCTGTGATGCTTGACAGAACAGTGGGATATAAGTGATTTAAATGAATAAATAAAAATGAAACTCATGCCACATGCTAACATTTAAATTGGTTACCTTTTTTCTTTACTTACTGTGTAATAATGTCAAGGGAATCAAAGTGTCCATCACTATTATAATCAAAAATAGGCCCACTGATCACATTTATCCCATTTCTCTCTGTAGCATATTTTGGAAGTAGCGTATTATGCAAGTAATCCCATAATCCTGCAATTGAAAGTACAGTGAGACAGAATCAGCTACAAGGGGAACTGTTATGCTGAATCAGTATGGCTTCCCTGTCCCATGACCACACAGACCAGAAGAGGCCAGAATGTGAGGATAAACTCTCAGGTAAATAATGCACTATCAAAGTGTTGGCCATTATCAGCACTTACTTTTGAATTCTTTGTACATGGGAACAATGTTGCTGGTAAGTAAAGCATCATATTGTTCATCTGCAGTTGAATTGAAGTCTGTGAAAAAAAATGGGATTAATAGTTTGTAAATCATGAAAACTAAACCAAAATTATTTTAAGCTGAGCACAATTTTGTTTACGATTCTGGTGGATCTATTCATTAAAATACCTCTTGAATTTTATTATTTAATACCCTTTCTGCCCTCTTGCATGAAAACATAGGATCAAACATAGTGGTAACAGAAAGATACATGTGGACCCTGCAGCAAAAGTGTGAAATTCTTCTCTTCAGTGTTTCAGCCAGCCAGCCATGCCCCTTCCCGTGATTGGTTTTCTGGCAACAAAGCACAATGAGATGCCATGTTTTGTTGTTGGCTTATGAACCATGGCTTGTTTTAACTATTATCTGGTGTTGTGCCAGAAGCCAACTATCTTGCTTTAAAATGGTTTGCTTGGCAACCTCACCTCAGACGTTCAACAAGCTAGAGAGGCACAAGGCAGCAGCAACTGGAAAACAAACCAAGCTTTGGAGAAACAATCTGTGGCTTGTTTGCTTGCCTCATTGTACAATGAACAAGGCATGGTTAAAACAAGCCATGTCTCCATGTTATGCGCAAATGAATCACCGTGAGCCTGGTTTCTAACAGATTCCTTTCCATGCAACGTTTACATATCTCCTTTCTCAACGTAAATCTAAGCCTGTTGAAGAAAAATATTTGACTATGACTTGAGGAGCCTTGTGGTCTGGTACTACAGAAGGCAGTGACTATAATAAGCTATTCTTTCACAAAAGAAACACCACTGAAATACCCCCCCTCTCTCCCTTTTTAATGCCATGCTTATCCCCAGTGGGTTGTTTCAGTGCTGTGTATATGTTTTTAAACACCCAGCCACATCCAGCCGATTACAACATTATGATCTTTTCTATATAAAGAGCACTACTAACTGGGAGGGTAGAGGAAACCGTGGGTGATGTTCAGGTCTGGCTGGTAGTTGGAGCAGTTTTGGCTCTGAGCTTCAGGGATTCTAACATCAGGCCGCAGACAGTCTGGAGCAGGGGGAGGAAGAGAAGATGCATCTCCCGCCTGGAAAGGGGGGGAAAGAGAGAGTATTACACCCACAGTCGTGGCTAACCTACAGTTTTGTGACTTCCTAGCCTAGCTTTCATTTATTCTTTCTTTTCCTATTTTTATAATGAATCATGTCCGTGCTAAAAATAGAAATGGACTTTAGCCCTTCTTTCCAGTCTGTTTATTTCTCGGTCCTTCAGCATTTTGATAATGAATGGGGAGGAAGGAGGGGAAGTCAGCCCAACATAAAGCAGTTGCAGCAAAGATCAAAGCAGCTTTTGGATTAAAGATGCAAGGCATTTGCCATCTTGACTCTAATCAACAAGTTGATATGTGTGACTCAAACTAGAGCTTCACAGAGATTGCATCATGTATGCCTTCCTGGCCTCCTTTGGTTCAAGATCTGCAAGTAGGACTGGGGGGAAACCTCCCATAGGGAACCCCAGGACCTCTGTCAGTCAGTGTAGAAACAATAAAGAAACAAAAACAAATTTATCAAGTAAGGCAATGTGTTAATTGTCTTTCCTCAACTTGTAGCAGAAATACTTTCAGATGATTAAAAAAAAACCAACCCAACCTTTATCTTAGAGTTTAAAAAGATGGGGCCAGAGACACCGAATTTCTGCTGTTCTGTGCCTTTCCTTAGATATTTTCTTTAACATTATGTCATTGGGCTGTGCCTTACTCTGCCACCCCCGGCCCCACCACACACACCCAGCCAACAGTCAGTTGATGAGAAGCAGAGACCAGCAAGCAAAGTAATGGCAGCCTGCTGTCTCTTATAATGCTTAGTTCAAGCTGTAAGGTAGGTCAGACTGAGAGGAAAAGTACAGTCACTGCCTTTGGTAAGAAGAGCATGCTTTAAACAGGAAACAGTAATCAATGTGTCAAGAGGCATAATTTATTTGCATTTTGTGGGACTTTTAACTACAGCATTTGGAAGCAGTTGCTTTTGACTGCCAGGCCATCACTCAGCCACTTCCAGGGGTGGTGTTGGTGTTTCTTAAGCGGTATAAGGAAGAAAAGAAAATATATAAATGAGGCATTAAAAAAAAAAGATCCCGCAAACTCATTGATCCAGAGATGCAAACCCTACTCAGTTCAGATGTTCTTCAATGCCCTTTTTATCTTTATACAGCACTTTAAAAAAACCCAACCAATTATGGGCCCATTTTCAAAATCTCATCCAACTAGTCGTATTTCTATACCAGACTCATGAATGTGCCAATCCAGGAATGAGTGGCATGTGTGAATGACCTAACATGAAGCAACAGCCATAGACAGAACTTCCACATGGTCCAATGCCACAGCAAATGCCCACAGTTTTCAGTGAGGTGATTTCTGACATTCAGCTGAAAAGTCGTGGAACTGAAGTGTAACCAAGTGTTGAGGAACCAAGTGGTATGCATCCCATGAATCAAATCTCCTTGAAGGAAAGTTTTCTGAGGGCCACATGTTAGTGGTGGACATAGGTCAACAAGAAGTGGGTGGGCCAGAAAGGAAAGTGGGCAGAGCAATGGATGGGACTCTTGCTTTTGTAGAGGAGACTGCACTCCAACTACACACACACACACACACACACACACACACACACACACAACACATAATGCATATCCCCAGTGAGGCAGGGAAGCAAGAGACATTATCATGGGTCAAGGGCACATCTCAGTCAGGAAAAAAAACATTTGAAGATGACATGGAGCAGAGCCAGCACAATGTGTGGGGTGGGGTGGCATAAGGAGAATCCTGAGGGCCAATCTAAGAGGTCTGGCAGGCCACATTTATGACAAAAAAATAGAACATGGGGCTCAATTACAGATCATACACTGCAGGACAATTTCAATAATCTGCAACACAAAGGTGTTTACTTTCTTTTCAAAAGAGTGAATGAGTGTATGAGTGTGTGTGTGTGTGTGTGTGTGTGTGTGTGTGTAGGAGGGGTTGGTGACTCGGTACAACCAAATCTTTCCTATCCAGGAGGTGGGTTTTTCCTCATAAACTTTGCCAACAGTCAGAGGGGAAAATCATAGTTTTTCCCTAAATCACTGCCTCAGGAAATCTGGCTACTGACACTGCTATTTCACTGACTCACGACAAAGTGCTTTTTATAACCTAAAGGGACTAGCTCAGGATATGCTGGATATCAAAAAAAATAATGGGATGGATTTCTGAGCCAACACTGGTACTTCAATGCCCCTGCTGCTTAAGGGCCAAACTAGATGTAGGCAGATTGATAGAGAAAAAATATGTGGAAAAAATAACGGAAAATGTCACCTCATGGTCGTTTTCCTTCATCAAAGTGGATTGCATAAACATCTCCATGTAACCAAAAATTGATCTATCATGATATTCTGCTATAATTTTGATTCCATTTGTAGGTCTAACCTGATTAAGGCTACCTCCAGTCTGGCAATATTTCGCAGAAGGGATTAAAACACATACTGCAAATTTAGGCTTGTACGATTAAAGCGACTTAAAGGGCTTTCTCACCCTAGCCCAATTAATCCACTTTTTAAAAGAAGCAGATTTTTTGCAGTTAGGAAAGCGACAGAGAAATACACTGGAATTAGTGAGATGAATGAATGATTGACACTGCACAAGTGAATCAGTATGAATGCTGAATAAACAGGTAGTCCAGAGAAATCCTATGATGTGGATCTCCTTTTAAGGCTCTTTTGATTTCACTGCCTGCAAAAGGAGAACAAATACCACACAGCAGGAGCTGGAAAATAACCAGTGAGCCTTCTTTTTAGAAGGCTGCTAATATATCTGGAGGCTACCATTCTCTCTTGTTGAAAGATAACAAGGGCAGATAGCAGTCATTGGCATCCATCAGGTTTTAGCATCTACTCAAAGCCTTACTCCTAGAGCTAATGACATTTTTATTGATGTCTCAGCATCAAAACTCTTTGTACACACCCACTTCAAGAAGTGCTGGCTTCTTTTTCATACCTTATGAAAAGCATTGTATACCTCTATCTAGAATATTTTCTCCACTGTGTTGGGAAAAAAAACCCCTTCAAATTATCTAGCTAAAACATTACATTGTCACTAAAAACTTTAAGGGCAGCCATTTTTTTAAAAAAAACAGAAGCAGGAAACTTCTCTGACTTCTCTGGCAGTGTCTATGAAGACTGGTGCTTTTTAACTTGTTTCTTAGGTTAGGAGTGAACAGTGAAACAGCCACATTTGCAGATAAGAGTTCTGTAAATAATTCAGGATAGTAAAGACAAAAAGGAATGATGAAGAGCTACAAACGGTTCTTTCCAGGCTTGGTGAAATGAAAATAAATAAATAAATGGCATCAAGTTACATTGAACTGTATTTGCCATCAAAAATACCTCTTCAGGATGTGGTAAAACATTATGTGTGCTGTGAGGAAAAAGTAAAATCTATGTTGGGAATCACTAGGAAATGGATTGAAAATAAAACTACCACTATTGAAATGCTGCTTTTTTAAAAACTGGAGTAGTAAACCCCTGGTCAGCAAGCTGGATATAGCCCCATAAAACCCTCACTCCCCACCCTCTCCAAACTCTCATCTCATTTGCCTGCTCTGTGGGAGTGAATATAAGGACCAAAACAGAGCTGCATGTATATGAAAGTGCCACCAGGAAGCTTGGAGGGTGGCCAAAGCAGCATCTGGTTTGGATAGGTTTAAAGCAGGGGGTGTCAGCAGCCTCTGGTGCCACCTCTGCAAATTTGCTTTTGCTGGACCACTTCTAGGGTCCTCTCAGATACAGTGGTACCTCGGGTTAAGTACTTAATTCGTTCCAGAGGTCCATTCTTAACCTGAAACTGTTCTTAACCTGAAGCACCACTTTAGCTAAGGGGCCTCCTGCTGCTGCCACGCCGCTGGAGCATGATTTCTGTTCTCATCCTGAAGCAAAGTTCTTAACCTGAGGTAATATTTCTGGGTTAGCTGAGTCTGTAACCTGAAGCGTATGTAACCCGGGGTACCACTGTAATGTCAGAAAAGCAGACCAGAGGGCTGAGCCCTCCCCTTTGATCCAATTCTACTTCGCTGATTCACAAGTGCTGGTAATGATCAGAAGGAAGGGGAGAGCCAAGGCAGAAAGAGGAAGGCCGGGTGGGAATGCTGTGTGTTTTGTTTGCCACAGATCAGAGAGCGAGTGTGCTTCTGAATACCAGTTGTGGGGGAACAATAGCAGAAGAGTGCAATTGTTCTCCTGCCCTGCTTGCGAGGTTCAGAACATGGAACTTGTCAGCAGTGCGTGCAGGAGCTGGGCCCTGTGACTGGTAGGGCCTCACAGGACTGGGACCTTCCTGAGTTTGGCCTGGAAGGGCAAGGCGTGGCCGCACAGGTGAAGCTTAACAGAAGACTCGTAGCACCTGGTGGCAAGGGCCAGGAGGGGTATATAAGGCCAGCATTTCCCTCTGGCTCTTTGTCATGGCAACATGCTACCCACCTAGCTGTGCCTCATCTTCCCGACTCCTGGTATCCTGACTCTTGGACCCTGGGCTTCCTGACTCCTGGTTTCCTGACCCTTGGACTCTTGGCTCTGGACTCCTGGTTTCCTGATTTGTGGACTCTTGGCTTCCTGACTCCTGGACTGCTGACCCTGGACTGCTGATTCCTGATTCCCAACCTCTACCCCGGTCCCGACGTACCAAGCCGGGACTCCGACTGCCCGTAACCCGGACCGCGACAGCCCTGCTGGTCCAGGCCAAAGGGCTATTATAGTCCAGCTATGTGGCCAACCCAATGCCCATGGGAAGCCCACAAACAGAACCTGAAGGTAACAAGCACTCTCCCTACTTGGGTGTTCATCTGGTACTGGTGGTAGACCACAGCCATTATGACTACTAGCAGTCACTGATAGCTTTAACCGCCATTACTTCATATAATCTCATTTTGAAGCCATCCAGATTGGTGGCCAACACTGTACCTTGTGACAACACATTCCACAGTTTAACAGGGCAGGTGGTTAGGCAGTGTGAGAGGCTGGACTAGGCAGGCCTATGGTCATGTTCTGATGTTTACCACAATGATGCCACCTGGCTTTTCTGGGCTGGCTTAGGTCTCCCAGGAGCAACTCCATCCCCGCTGCAGTCTCCTTAAAGTATGGCAACAGATGCTTCACGTTGTGGAACTGCTGTGTTGTCTAAGTATAAATGGATGCCAAAAAACGCTCCCTCTGCAATGAGGTCATTTTCCTTGTGCCAAAAAACAAGCCTTAAGAGATTATTATCAGAGATGAGAAGCAGAAGAAACAGACACGTTCTTTTCGCATGGGTTTGAGCCAGCTGTGTATTGTGCAAAAAAAAAAATTTAAATGAGAGGTTATGTATTTATTTAAGCATCTCTCCTAATGTAAACATATCAGGGGTGAGAAACCTGTGCCCCACTCCCGATGTTGTTTGACTCCAGCTCCCATAGTCCCGGACCATTAGCCATGCTGGCAGGGTCTGATGACAGCTGGAGTTCAACAACATCTGGAAGGCCACAGATGCATCAGCCAACCATGTTCTATGTAAACCCACACCAGATTAATTCATGAATACCAGAGGTGTAAGATTCTGATCGAGACATAGCAGAAAGGGGCCAAAGGTTTCCCACTTCTGGATTACAAGAAAAGATCAGCTCATGTAAAATTAATGAATGTTAGAATGATGTTGGAATGAAGTTAAGTGGTTTTAGCAGCAATGTTACAAAGGTGTAGGTAAAAATGGATTGCTAATAGATGTGAATCTAAAGTTATAATATATCAAGACAAAGGATTAAGATAAAAACAAAGAGGGAAAGGATTTGCTGAATTAACTAATTGAACTGGAATGCAAAAAAGGGAGGTGTGAGGAGGTCAGGGAAACAAGTAAACGAAAGACAAGATATGGAAAGATTGGTTTTTTTAATTGTTCTTTTTTTTAATTGCTCTTTTGTATTTTCTTTTTTCTTTTCTTATCTTTTTCTTATTATTGTAATTTTGTTTGAAACTTTAATAAATATCTTTAAAAAAAGAAAAAAGAAAAGATCAGCTCAAAAGTCCAGCTAGGGAATGCTGTTTCCCACTGTGGCCAGGCCAGACATTGCCTCTGGAAAGTATGCATGCAGGACATGAAGGTAATAACTTTCTTCCACTGTTGTCCCACCAGCAAGTAGCATTCAGTGGTACACTTCCTTTGAAAAAGGAGGCTCTATGTTGCCGTGATAGCTAAAAACCACTAATACACATTATCTCCCCCAGATTTGTCTAATCCTCTTTCATAACCATCTAAGCTAGAGGCCACCACAGTGTCTTGTAAGTTAATTATGCATTGTATGAAAAAGTACAGCCTTTTGTGTCTCCTGAATCTCCAGTCCAGCAATTTTACTGAGGATTAGAAGCTGCTTGCCATCTGGGAAAAGCTGTTCCCTGGTGTTTGTCGCTCTTCTCTCTCAGCTACCAGAATAACCCGGTACTATTGATGCCAGGGTGGAGGTTGGACAGGAGTCCTGCTGCAAGCAGTGACTCATTCCTCTGTTCTCCTCCCCTTTGAATTTCTTCCCAGCGGTGAAGTGCTCCCCCTGCTAGCTCAAAAAGTAAAGTACACATATTGTGGAATCATAAAGTTCTGCTGCTCAGGTTGTCAGTGCCAGTTCATGTGGGCTTGGTGTTTTGGCTTGCCCAGCTGCTACAGTATTAAGTGAACTGGGGTTCGTGGAATCTTCCTTGTCCAAGGTGGCATGCATGACTCTTGCTCTCCCATTTCATTCTCACAACAACTCTAAGAGGTTGGTTAGGCCGAGACACAAGGACTGGCCCAAGGTGACCCAGTGAGCTTTCATGGCTAAGTCAGGATTTGAACTTAGGTCTCCCAGATCCTAACCTGGCTCTCAAGGTGGCTGGCAGTAGTTCTCTGGGGTTTCATATTGGGAGTTTTCCTGGCCCTATCTATGGATTGCATTCTTTTCCATGTAAAAGAATGTTGCTCTGCCATTAAGCTGCAGCTTTTCCAATGGCAATTTGGTAACCCTGATCGTACACTAAGTACCATCTTCCCCCAAAGCAGACCAACTCAGTCTGAACAGCTGCTGCCTGGCCCATTTTACAAACACACGAACACAATGATAACTGCCCGATGTTCCTGCAATGAGCAGTTTTGCCACAGCCCTTCTCCGTGTATGGCCTTTCATTGCACTTCAAAAGGTATATAAATCTGAAAACTTACTGGTTTGTTGACAGTATAAGAACTCCATAGTGGCATCCAGATGTTTTGGCTGTATCCACTCACATATTTATTCTGGTGAAGGAGGCAATAGGTATTCTCTTTCTGTAAGACCTTGGGTCTACCATAAGGCAAATTAGAAGCTTCGGACGTTTTCTCTAGAATATAAACCATAATTACTGAGTTCCACATTTATATGATGACCTGGGGGGGGGGAGAGATGGCTTTGGTGGGCGTGCAGAAACTGAATACAGTTTTTTGTGAAGTTACGATGAAATGCATGTGTTTATTCAGAGTCTTTGCTTTCCAATAAATTTGAAAAGGGGAGCATGGTTATAAAGATGATTTGAAATTTTGGGCAAGCTGCTGCTTGGTATATTCTCTCCCAAACTTGCTTCTGGTTCAAATTTTTATTACTTATTGCATTTATATCCCACCTTTTTTCTCTAGTGAACTCAAGGTGGTGCATATGGTTTTGCCTGTCCGTATTTAACCAGAGACAGTGACTGGCCCAAGGTCACCCAGCGAGCTTCATGGCCAAGTGTCAATTTGAACCCTGGCCTCCCAGGTTCTAGTCCAGCACTCTAACCACTGCACCACTGTATCCACCACTTCATCTTTCACATTCAGCTAAACAACTTGCCCTCTACTTCTGCCTTTTCCCTGTCTGCTGTTTTCCTTGCATATTCCCCTACCCTATAGCCTGGAGAGTGGTAAACCCGTGGCCCTCCAGATACCGTTGGGCCATCATCCCTGACCAATGGCCATGGTGGCTGGGGCTGATGGGAGTCCAACAACACCTTTGAGAAGGGTTGGGGTCCCCAAATACTTCCCTACCCACTGTCACTATTCAGCTGCTTGAGGGGAGTTAGGAGACTGTTAATCCGAGACACCGACACCTGCCCTCTGCTGCCACAACAGATGGACGGAAAAGGAGTAGAGGCAATACTCACTTGCTTCATCAGTGAGCTTCAATCTTTCATTTATTGCATTAACATCTGTTATCTAAAAACAAGCAGACAGACAAAAGTGCAAGGAACTGCTGCCATTGCTTGCTTCACTTGCCCCACCAAGTCGCCACCCCATACCAAACCCACCACGCCCTTCAAAACCTCCACCCCTTCCTTCCTTCCTTCCTTCCTTCCTTCCCAACATTAGCGACTGGAGGACCTTTCACTCCTGTGTCAGCATCCTTAAATTCTTATTCTTTGTATAGAAACCCCATTCATGCACATGTAAAACATGATTCACAAATAAATAGTTCACATTTTAAAAGTTCAACTAAAAAAACAAAAACCCACAAGAATATGAAAAGAGCTTGCTGGATAAGGTCATTAACCCAGCATCCACAGTGGCCAACTAGATGTCAATGGGCAGCCCATATAAAAGCCTGAGTGCAACAGCACTCATCCCTGTTTTGAACAGCAGAGGTAGCCCATAGACAATGTGGTTAGTAGCTTTATCCTACATGGTTTTTTCCAATCCTCTTTTAAAGCCATCCAGGTTGGTGGGTATCACTACTTCTTGCTTTCGGGTGAGGGGTGGGAAATGAACGTCTAACCGTTTTAGGAGTTACTGATCCTGTTCAGACTTACCAAGCTGCAGACACATCCAGAAACATCTGGTGATGCGGGGGAATTCATGGGGCATAGAGAAGGAGCTGACTCTTCTTTCGCAGGTGATGGAGTGTAAAAAGGAACCTTCAGTAGGTGATTCAAGGTACCATGTGTACCATTGTTTGCTGCTGGCGTAATCTTAAGCAGATCTGTCACGGAAAGTGAAAATGATTTCTTTGGGGCAGGCTCTGTGCAAGGCTTAACTTGAACAAGAGCTAATTTCCTCTAGGTGATGTAAACTTGGCTGTTAATAAAATTGCACGAGGATTTCCTGCTAAAGAACCCAACGTTGCCATTTTTGCAAGCTGCTTTGATTCTTGAGAAGAATGCACCGGGTTATTGACTGGGATGTTTTTAGGGTCAAATTGATACGGTGCTGTGTGGCATGGGAGTGTCTTCTCTGGTTAAACTCTATACCTTACCACTGTAAAATTCAATGAAAAATTGTCATGGTGCTTTTGGGAAAGGGCTGGAACTTCGTGTTAGAGCATCTGGTTTGCATAAAGAAGGTTCTAGGTTTAAAATCTAGTATATCCAGGTAGGGTTGCGAATGTCCCCGGCCTGAAACCCTGGAAAGCCACTGTCAATGCAAACAATACTTAGCAAGATGGACCAATGGTCTGGCTCCTTATAAGGCAGCTTTGTAGTGTTCCTATGAATCACTCATGAAGAAAGCTGTCATGCCAATACTACTTTTCCTTCTACTGGTGTGGTCATTTCCCACATGATCTTGCTGTCCCATGTTGGTTCCCTCAGCCAAACATGAGGGCCAGCCATGGTTACGGGGCAACTACATGCACTGATAATGGGTGAATTGGGCCTGTGCCAAAAGTTGGGCTGCATAAGTAGTACACTCCAGCTTTGGCCGTATCATTTCAGTACATTCCTTTGATTATGCCCTCACAGCTTCAGCTGTGGAAACGCTTGCCTCCCTACTGTTGACTTCCAAAACCTGCCCTCCCATATTATGAGTCAAGAAGAACTATTTTCTCTGTGCATAAAGCTGAAGAAGAAAACTGTGGCTGCCATCACTGGCAGGATGATGTCCTCTAAATAGAGAGTCACACCATTTACGCATAGGATGAAGGGCCATGGAATCTACTGTGCAGTCGCATTCTTTGTAGGTGTCCCAATCTGGAAGTCAGAGCAGTGGATATGCCTGTTTTTCATAATACAAAATACAGAACAGCTATTCTGTTCCTCAGTACACCTACCACGTAGGAAGGATTATAACCTCAAGGTACCCATCTGAACTCCACGATATATGTTTGCATTATGTCCTGAAGTAGTACAATATGTTTGTGTAGCAATTAAATGTTCTCTGCATACTGAGTTCAGTTTACTTTGCTCCAATCTTAAAACTATTGGTGGCAAAACAGACATAATCTAGTTAATACTCACCACACATTAAATTGTAAACCTCAATGTTTTCAAAAGGCTTCACCTCAGTTTTTTCTTTAAATCCTGGTCCATGTGCCACAAAGATGGCCTGGGTAGTCATAATAAAAATGGTGTTACTAAACAGCTTTCAGAAGGTTTGTTTAAAACAATAAAATAAAGCTAGTTTAGCAAAAGTTTGACTCAAGCCATACATGGGAGAAACTACTGATTTGAGACATGAGGTTTATTCCAGAAGAAAAAAAGCAATTTTTAACAGTCTAGCTTAGACAATTTTGGGTGCATAAGCAACCCAGGGTTTTATGATTTGACATAAGCCTTCAAGTAGTTCCTTTACCCTCAAAGAGGACTCATAACACACTTCACATTTTGTTGGCGCATCTACTCAACACACCCTTTGGCCCATGGATTGTAAGTCATGTATTAGTGTGAAACAACACCCATGCAGGGCATGAGAAATGTTGGAGTTGATTCTGTGGCAAATGCTTACAGAAAATAACAGATAAATAGGTTTTTCTATATTTATTTTTTAAAAACCCTTACCTGCATACTTTTGAACTCATTGTCAAAGCCATGGTTACCACCACCACAACGTGTATAGCTTTTAGATCTGAAAAAAGACAGATGTTGAACTAACCTTTAAGCTTCAACAAGAAATATTAAGTATTTCAAATAAGAGCTGACTCTAGAGAGGGGCTATTTTTGCAATCAATGTAAAAAGGCACTCCCTTCAGCAATTTTGGTCAATAATTCTGCTTCGAAAGGGTGATTGTATGAAAATACTCCACCTACTCAGGAAGTTGCTGTCCGTGAATGGAATTAATTTGATCTCAATGATATATTCACACAGCCAAATAGCACTGTGGCATCATCACATTCACTAACAGCATGGTTTCTGATTGGATGGTATTATTCTAGGAAGAAGAAAGACCTAACCAAGATAAAATGATACTAAAGCAGCAGCTGATGGGCAAACATATAGAACTCTCACCAGAGATGCTCGTCTGGTGCTATGTCCTTGTATTATTTTCTTGCTTATTTGCTGTTTTTATTTGTGTTTTAAACTTGTCATCTGCCTTAGAAACTATAAACACTGAAATGTGGAGACAAATTCAAACAAAGCAGTAGCACTCTTCACATCTTAGGCCATTAGTAAGTGTGTCAGGGAAGTGTTGTATTTTGGAGTGGCTCTACACTTTGTGCAGCTATGATGTCTGCATACCAGAATTGCAACTGGGTTCTGAGTAGCAAAGAGGAAGAGTGAGAACCAAAGATGCTCATCTTTATATCTCAAGGACACACGTCAGGGAGCCATGGACCAACTCCAGCTCCCAAACACATGTGGATGGGTGTGAAAGGGGATGTATGTGTTTGTGGTGGAAAACACCACGGCAACAAAGGGGTAACTACAGCAAAATGACAACAACATCAAACATAGAGTTGCTCATAATTGTCTTAGAAATAGTTGTATAAAAATTATTTAGCTTTATAAAGGTGTAGTTCATTTACATATTTCAGAACTATTTCTTTTCTTTCCTTTTTTACACCTTTTCCTCCTTTCCTTTGAGCCATAAAAGAAATTCTACAATATTTTGACTAACAATGACTGCATTTGCCTGGAAATTTTTTGCTTACTCACTGCTGTGACTTTTGGAAGGCAAGATGGAATAAACAAACTACAGGAGTCATTTACTGGAAATATTTTATGTTGACTCAATTATATTTTGTAACGATTTGGAGTAACTTCAGCACATAACTCCAACACACACACACCCAAGATTTGAAAGCACTTTTGATACTTTGGAAATTCCTCATATGCAAGGTTGAACAATAAATACATGCCAAAACAAATTATTCCCAGCTCCTTGAATTGTGTGGCTATTGTAAATTCAAACTGCATGAGATGTCAAGAGATCAGTACAATTGTGCAGAAAGCAGTGGTGGGGACAGACGTCTGCACCTGATTTTAAAATCTAAAAGGCCTGCAAGTGTTAGGATCTAATGCAGAAAGATGGAGGAATCACAGTGTTCATCAAGGATTATGAAATGAAGACATGGATGTTGCCATGCAGAAGGAATGGGGAGCCTGTGCCCTTCTAGACTACAGCAACTCTCATTCCTGAGCCATTGGCCATGCTGGCTGCTGCTAGAGCCACAAGTTCCCCTTCTCTGCCTTTCAGGATTATTTGTATTCCAAAGGTAGTAGCCAGCCAGATACTTCTGACTATGCACAAACAGTCCAATGAACTCAATAGCCTTCTTCTGTTACTGATCCCCAGCAACTGGTACTGAAGAGTCTGCTGTCTTTACACAGAAATGTCAGCATTCTGCCTTGATCAGAAGTTTCATCAGCAGTTTGACTAAAAGCTTCCATGAGTCTAACATTCACAGATATACAGTGGTACTGTACCTTGGTTCTCAGATGCCTTGGTACTCAAACAACTTGGAACCCAAACACTGCAAACCTGGAAGCAAGTGTTCTGGTCTGCGAACTTTTTTCAGAAGCTGAACCATTTTGAGTGTTATGCTGAGGTCTGTCCATTTTTGCTATTTACCGTATTTTGTGTTTTTGTGGCTCTTTTTGTCTGTTTTTGTGACTGTGTGGAACCCAGTTCAGCTACTGACTGACTGATTGATTGATTATGTGACTGCAGTACATTGTTTATTGCTTTCATTTTGTGGATCGATGGTCTCATTAGAGAGTAAAATTCATGTTAAATTGCTGTTTTAGGGATTGTTTTGAAAGTCTGGAATGGATTAATCCATTTTGCATTATTTTCATTATTGGAATGCTTTGGTTTTGGAATGGACTTCCGGAACAGATTAAGTTTGAGAACCAAGGTACCACTGTACTTGCAAAATCCGGATGGGACAGGCTGGGATTTGACATGGTTTGGTTTATCCTAACTGCATTCTGACAAAACTAAGCTGAAATGTCCAGATGTAAGGTCACATGGCCCTATGATTGCATTTATAATTTTATTTCTTTGGAAATATTAATGAAGGAAATCTACATTCTCAGGAGTTGCGAAACTTCAATGACATGATGAGACAACTACGTCAGTTCAGTGGAAGTCAGTGGAATTCTCAAGAGGTTCATTAATATGGAATTTTATGAGTTTCTGTTTTGATTTGTTTATGTGATTTTACATTTACTTAGAAAGTTAACATTCACAAGGTGACTTACAGAGATATTCCCAACAATCAAACTGAAAAAAATAAACTAAAAGAATAGAATTGCAGAGCAGAAAAAACAGTCAAACTAGAAGCAGTTCACACTGGCTGGCTGAATGAAATGGTATTCACCTGACAGCCAAACAAAGCCTGGCTGAATGAAAAGGAAAAGATCTCAGTACCTGAGCTCACTTTTGCAGGAAGGGAGCCTGAGGAACTGAGGCACACAGGGGTGACAAGATATGAAGTTCTAGGCCTAAGAGACAAAAATTGATCTGTTTCCCTGTGGCTGCAGTAGGGAGAGAAAGGACACTGGTCTCTGTCACAGTGAGAAGAAGGGCTGCTGGGGAACTTGCACACTCTCCCTGCAAAGTAGGTGCCAGGAAGAAACTCTTTTTTCTTTGGTGTGTTTCTACCCTTTTAAAATATTTTTTTATAAACTGCTCAGAACACTTTATATAAAAAAGGGTATAATCTGAATGAATAGATAAAGCACCTGCCCTTCAATGATACCCCAAAATCTGGCGCAGAGTCCACCTGGCCTAGGGGCGGGGCCCAGACTCACCCAGCCCTGCCAAAGAGGCTCCTGGTGAGACTGGAGGGGCATCGCTATGCCTGACAACAAACCTTAATTATTGGATGCTTTTGCCCCATCTTTTTGGGCCTGCCAAACAGCTGTGCCATGCTTATGGTAATATTTTATTCTCTTGTTAATTATGCTGTTTTAAATGTGCATTTTATATTTGACTTCACTTAGCAATGTGTAGTTTTTTTAAATGTTTTAATGTTAACTTTGTTAGTGTTAAATATGTATTCTGTAGTTGACCTCCTTTGTAATGTTTTATTTTGAAATCTTTACGATAACATTTTAGTTTTCTGTTAATTATGTTGCTTTGACTGTATACTTTATATTTGACTTTCTTCAGAAATGGTTGATTCTGGATGTATTACCGTAATATGCTGTAAACATGGGTGGCGCTGTGGGTTAAAGCCTCAGCGCCTAGGACTTGCCAATCGCATGGTCGGCAGTTCGAATCCCCGCGGCGGGGTGCGCTCCCGTCATTCGGTCCCAGCACCTGCCAACCTAGCAGTTCGAAAGCACCTTCGGGTGCAAGTAGATAAATAGGGATCGCTTACCAGCGGGAAGGTAAACAGCGTTCCGTGTGCTGCACTGGCTCGCCAGATGCAGCTTGTCACGCTGGCCACGTGACCCGGAAGTGTCTGCTGGCTCCCGGCCTATAGAGTGAGATGAGCGCACAACCCTAGAGTCTGTCAAGACTGGCCCGTACGGGCAGGGGTACCTTTACCTTTACCTTTAAACCGCTTTGAGATTTTTCTTAAAAATATAAAGTGGTATAGAAATGATGATGATGATGATGAGGTCACCATCAGTACCATACCTCACACCCAACCACTGCCGCTGCATCATAAGGTGAACTTTGTCAATACGGATATTGTTAACGTAGTGCAATCGCTTTGGCAAATTTGGAGTCAAGTAGGCTTTGAGGTGCTGTGTGGGCTTTCGGCACTAAAATTGGAAAAGTGAACTTGTGAGATCTTCACATTGCAGAACACAAAGACACAAATAGATACTTCTAACCACAGAGAAGAAAGGGTATGCTGTAATTCCTTCATGAAAACACCAGACAGGAGTCACAAAAGTTCTTACTGATGGCAGTGTGCTGATTTTCCCAACAGAAATTCATGGCTGTGTTCCACAGAACAAAGTTAGGATGCTACCTTAATTGATATATACCAGTATTTGCACATTTAAAATTATTTATCCTAACCCCTATAAAAAATTGTGATCTATATATTGATATAGGTTACATGTAGCACATCTGCCAAAGAAAACAACATGAGTCTACTGCAGAAATTACACTTTGGAAAAAAATGCATCAACTACATTGTCAACTGCCCTGAAATCTATGGATGAAACCCCCTTCATCCATAGATCTCAGGGCAGTTGACAATGTACAATATATAAATCTACTGTTGTTAATAATAATAATAATAATAATAATAATAATAATAATAATATACTTGCTGTTTTCTTACTAAAGCTACAAGGAAAATGAGAGATTAAATGCTTACTCACCGTAAGATTTTTAACAATGCCTGCTGAATCAACTGTTTGGAAGAAAATCAAAACATTAGACTCTGGATTCAAAATTACATATACTGATCCAACCCCTTTAATCCGTTTTGACATTTTGTAAGAATTTAAGAACCAAATCTGGGTTCAAGCTTGGCTGTGGGACTGGGTCATGCTTTTTGGCCCTGATGGGTGACTTTTACAGGGAGCGGGATGAGCAAGCGTGACTTTGCTTCTGCTCCTTGATTTCTCTGCAGCTTCTGGTACCACTGACCATAGTATCCTCCTGGACTGATGCTATGGAATGGGAACTGGGGGCACTGTGCTACAGTTGGTTCCAGTCCTATCTATTGGGCTGCATCCAGAAAGCAGCACTGGCAGAGTGGATTTCAGCTAGCTGGTAGTTATGCTATAGGGCTGATGGGAATTGTAGCACAAAACATCTGAAGGGTACTGGGTTGTCAAAGGATGACCCAGAGGGATGTTGAGTTCTCCCTCACTCCTTTTGGTCTTTTCAGCAATGGATGGACAGCCATCTGCTGAGGATGCTCTAGATTTCCTGTCCTGAGCAGGGGTTTGTGCTAGATGGTCTGCAAGCCCTAGATCCCTCCCAGCTCTCTAATTCTATGGATCTATCATCCTATGTCCAAAGCTTACATGAAAAGAAGTCGTTTGGAATATTCCTTGATCGAATACGAGGTGCCGGTCCTTCGTACATATAAAAATTAACGTCCTCAAAATAATCTGTCATGAATTCCATCTGCTCACAGAGTGTCTGATCCATGCCTAAGGAAAGAGAAGAGATGGTTAAACTATTCAACAAATATTGGGAGTGGCCGCCAAGACCATACAACTGCCAGGGGTACGTGCAGGAGTCAGGCCCAGTGACCAGTAGGGCTTCGCAGGACTGGGGCCTTCCTAAGTTTGTTCTGGAGAGGCAAGGTGCAGGTGAGGCCACTTGGTAACTCACTGCACCTGGTGGCAAGAGCCGGGAAGGGATATAATGTCAGCATTTCCCTTTGGCTCTTTGCCACAGCAACATGTTTCCTGCCTTGCTGCGTTTGGCTTCTTGATCCTCAGACCTCGTCTTCCTGACTCCCTGCTTCTTGACCCTTGGACCCTTGACTTCGTGACTGCTTGCTTCTCGAACCTTGGACCCTTGACTTCGGGACTTCTTGCTTCCTGACCCTCTGGACTCTCGTTCCTGGTCCCACCCTGCCATCTTGCCCCCGGTCCCGACGTCCTCAGCCGGGACTTTGATCGCCCGTAGACCGGACCATGACAACACCACCAGTCCTGAAAGACCTACATTGGCTTCCAGTACGTTTCCGAGCACAATTCAAAGTGCTGGTGCTAACCTTTAAAGCCCTAAACAGCCTTGGTCCAGTATACCTGAATGAGCATTTCCAACCCCATCATTCAGCCCGGACACTAAGATCCAGAGCCAAGGGCCTTCTGGCGGTACCCTCACTGCGAGAAGTGAGGTTACAGGGAACCAGGCAGAGGGCCTTCTCAGTGGTGGCGCCTGCCCTGTGGAACACCCTCCCATCTCATGTCAAGGAAATAAACAACTATCTGACTTTTACAAGACATTGGAAGGGAGCCCTGTTAGAGAAGTTTGATGTTTTATTCTGTTTTAATATTCTGTTGGGAGCTGCCCAAAGTGGCTGGGAAAACCCAGCCAGATGGGCGGGGTATAAATAATAAAAATTATTATTATTATTATTATTATTATTATTATTATTAGTTTGCAAGATCAATAAAGCTCTATACTGAGACACAAAAGGGGCTGGCCCAAGATATTTTGTTGACTGAGGCAAAAGGCAGGATAGCGTCCTGCTCACCCCACCCATTCCTTGAGCAGCCAAGCAGAAGAGAATCTTTCTTCAACACTAGTGATGGGACAGCATCCCCCAGCACCCCTGTGAGCCGTAGACTAAGGTTAGGGGGTTCAGGAAGACCACGAGGCACATACAGCTCTGTCCTCTGAACACATCTTGCCATCCTTCCCTCCTCAGGCATCTGTTGCCTGAGGTGGTTGCCTCACCCTGCCTAATGATAGCACCTAATGATGGAAGAACAAAGCAGTCATACCATGATCAGCCACAAGTATGATATTGACACAATTGTCCAATTTTCTTTGTCTTAGACCTTCCATTAACATTCCCAGGGTCTCATCTGCCTTTTGTAAGGCTTTAACTGTCTAAAACAAAAGGAGAAAAGATTTCAATAGCGTTTCCCCTTCAAAGTGTGTTCAAGATCAAGTATACCATAACAGAATATGGGACAAAACAGAACAAGCATACTTTTGAAATATTTTTTTTCTATTGCCTCCTGGTGTTTTTAAAGGTATTTTTGAACTGGAGTCCCATTTAGTACATCAATTCATTCATATTCAGAGATTCTTGTGTATTGGGTTAATCAGAACAAGATGTATATTATCATCAATATTACACAATCCTTTTAGGATGCACAGTGAACTATAATATACTGTAACAATCTCCAGGTTCTGCTCTCCGGGTACAGTCACGCAGAGCCCCAATCCTGATTAGGACAATGGAGTAGAGTGAGAGTAGCCTATTTTTTTCATCCCCATACTTGTTTTCTGTTGGAAAACCCCAACCCACTCCAGTATAACTAGATTATGATGCTTACATCCACTTTGTCTGCTTACCCCCTTACTGTCTGGTCCTCTGGTGTGTTAGGAGGTTGGATGATGGGCTGTGTAAAATATGTTAGTTCATAGAATCATAGAAGGGACCCAGAGGGTCATCTAGTCTAACCCTCTGTGATGCAGGAATCTCATCAGTTCCTAGCTTATGCTCAACTTAACCACATTGCAAGCTGTGTCACATGACTGTGGTTTGTGTATCCTACATGTTTATTTATGGCTTATAGGATTGGAAAAAGAAAAACTTACTTCACCATGAGCTGGTCCATATTTATGTCCTGCTGAGTCCGGTTCCTCAATGTACAATGTATAGAAATCAGGCCTAGAGTTCAAAAGAAAAGTGCATTGTAACTGCATGGAAAGGAATCGTGGCCAGCCTTCACTCAAAGGAAGGTGCAGAAATGTGCACGAGGTTAAACTGTTTTTTAGAACAGAAAGCCACCAGCTGGATGTGTGCCTTACAAAAGCAGTACAGAACATTAAAATGAAGTATATTAACCAAAACAGAATAAGAACCAAAAAAATACATCCAGACAAATCCCACCCTGCCCAAAAAGAGACAACATATATTGAAAACCCTCCAGGTAAAAAGAAAGGTTGAAGAAAACACACACACACATACACTGGCAAAAGATCCTTAGTATACAATAAATAGGCTTGATAAACATTTCACAAGAACAAAAGCACTGCCAAAAGCTTCCTAAACTGTTACCTTTCAGATTTTGGGAGTTCAAACCACTTCAGCAGCTCTGTAACTCTTTGTTCAAATGTAACTGACCTGCAAAGAATAATAATTATTGTTATTATTTAGCCATCAGGGAAATTTATTCTGCAACAGAACAATGATGCAGACCAGGAACAGGGAACTTGTGGTGTCTAGATTTCATGCCCCCCAACGTTTCTCACATGAAAATAGGGACATTCTATTCCACATGAGGAAGCTTTTCCCGTACGTGTATACGTCATATACAAATACATCTGTCACTTTGAGCCAGTTACAGCCTCTCAGCCTGCTTACCTCAAAGGAATGTTGTAAAGAAAAAATATGTAAGGGAAAGAATCATGTACAACATCTTCAACAGATAAATAGAATGAAATGAAATTTTAGCTGTAAGATGTCTTGAGTCCCTGTCAGGAGAAAAGGTAGGATATAGCAGCAACAACAATTTCTTTTTCTTTTTCTAAAACTCCAACTTACTTGTTGTACACCTTAAAGATATTAGGGTATGTTCCATTGATTTTAGCTTCGGATCCAGGCCAATAGTAGGTGCCAGCTTTCAACCCTTGAAACATTGCTGTATGCCAAATCTGCAAGAAGATACACAGATTCAGTATCTGAAACATAGACAGATCTACATTTTAATAGCACACATTTAAAACTCTCCATGACCCAGATGAGACAGAATTCAGCAAACTTGAAATTTAGAGGGATCTCAGAGGAGACAAATGAGAACATAAGACTTAAAATGGTGAAAGAGCTGGCAATCTGGTTAGATAGAAAGGAAGAAGAGATAAGCTACTCGTTGGCAAATATTTTTCGGATAAAAACAAAATCAGCTAAAGCCAGGGGAAAAAGATTGCCAGGGGATGTATTAGTTATCTTCAATTCGATGGATATGAGAAACGAAATACTGAAACAGAATTATAACAAAAGGTTATATATTGGAGGAAATCCAATTATCATATACAAAGAGATTCCTTCGAGATTTCTTCGAAGGAGGGATGCCTACAAAAAATTAACTAACCAACTGAAGAAAAATGGGATCCTATATAGATGGGAATTTCCGGAAGGAATTTCATTCTATTTTAAGGAAAAAAGATTCAAACTGTCCAACCCTTCAGAATTAGAAAAATTTGCAAGAAGATATGAGAAAGAACTCGGAAAGATGGTGGGGGAGGAGGAGGAGGGTGAACGATCGGGGAGCGGGGACAGAGGCGGAGAGAGTGGAGAAGGAGAGAGAGAGACAAATTCAGGAGAAGAGAGGGAAGGAGAAGAGATAGACGATAAAAAACAGTAGATTTAATCTAGACTTGTTATCTTATTATTTGCATACAAGTGATGGCTCTAAAAGTTCTGACCTGGAACGTGAACGGACTCAACAATAAAAATAAAAGGAACCAGATTGCGCATATTTTACTAAAAAAGAACCTCGACTTAATCTGCCTACAAGAGACTCACGTAATAAGAAAGCATAAGAGAATTTTAAGCAATAAGAGATTAGGATTGGATTTTGTGGCTTCAGATAGAGTTAAGAAACGAGGAGTGGTTCTATATATAAAGGAAAAACTTGATCCAAAATTACTGTATAAAGATGAACAAGGGAGAATGATTGTAGTACAGATTATGTTTCAAGGAGTAAAGATTATTGTCGTCGGACTATACGCACCTAATGACAGAAAAGCAGTCTTTTTCTCTGAATTAGGTAGTAAGTTAACAGAGTGGATGGATCAAAAAATGATAGTGATGGGTGACTTTAATGGGGTGGTGTCACCAAACCTGGATAGATCAACAAGAAAACAAGAGATTAAGGAAGGCAAGTTACCGCGGACTTTTTTTTGATTTGGTTGACAATATGGGATTAATTGATGCGTGGAGATTCAAAAACCCTACTGTAAAACAATATACTTTCTTCTCAAATCCTAACCAGAGTTGGGGGAGAATAGATGGTATTTGGATCACTAAGGAATTGATACAGAACTTAATCAAATCTGAAATTCTCCCACAGATTATATCTGATCATAACCCAGTATATTTAGAGTTAAAGGGTAAAGAGGCTAGAGTACTTAGATGGAGAATGAACGAATCTCTATTTAATGATCAAAAGATAGTGATTAGGGCAAAAGAAACAATTGAAGAGTACTTCAAGTGGAATTTAAATAAAGGGACAGCTTTAGAAACGGTTTGGGACGCAGGGAAAGCCGTCATGAGGGGCTTTCTAATCCAGAAAAATAGCCATAAAAGAAAAGAAAAAGAGAAAAAGAAGGAGGAGATTTTAGTACAGTTAATGGAGAATGAAAGACAATTAACTATCAAGCCAGGTGATGAGATTATAAAACAAAATATAAAGTTATTACAAGCCCAATTTTCTATGATAGTAAACCAGGAGATTGAGTGGAAAGTTAAAATGTTGAAACAGAAGAGTTTTGAATCTGCTAATAAAATAGGGAAATATTTGGCCTGGCAACTAAGAGAAAGGAAAAAACAAAATATGATCTGTAGGATAAGGGATGGAGACAAGATAGTGGAAGACCCAAATGAAATAAAAAGGTTGTTTCAGAAATACTATAAGGATTTATATAAAAGAGGTAAGGAGACAGGCTATGATATAGAACGCTATCTGAAAGAACATCATTTACAACAGATATCAACCGAAGAAAAAGAATTACTAAATCAGCTGATTACAGAGGAGGAGGTAAGGAAGGCAATATCAAAGATGAAAATTGGTAAAGCGCCGGGGCCAGATGGTCTGTCAGCCAAATATTATAAAGTATTAAGTGATCAAATAAGCCCAATCCTATGTGAAGTGATGAATAATATTTTAAAAGAAGGAAAGACCCCGAACACCTGGAAGGAAGCCTATATTACATTAATTCCTAAAAAAGATGTGGATGCCTTAGAGGTGAAAAACTATAGGCCGATTTCGTTATTAAATAACGACTATAAACTGTTTGCGGATGTAATGGCAGAAAGATTAAAAAAAGTATTAAATAACAGAATCCATAAAGATCAAACAGGCTTCCTTCCAGGGAGACAATTGAAGGACAACGTAAGAAATGTGATAGATATCATTGAATATTTGGAAACCAGAATAGACAAGCAAGCCGCTTTGATTTTCATTGATGCCGAAAAGGCCTTCGATAACGTTTCTTGGTGCTTCCTGACAGAAAATCTAAAAATGATGGGGCTGGGTGAAAGATTTAGAAAAGGTATAGAAGCTATCTATAATGAACAAAAAGCTAAGCTAATAATAAATAACTCGACATCAGAATTTTTTGACATATCTAAAGGGACTAGACAAGGCTGCCCCCTGTCTCCTCTGTTATTTATAACAGTACTTGAAGTACTTACTAAGAGACTGAGACAGGCAGCGGAAGTGAAAGGGATTAAGGTAGGGACTAAAGAACATAAGATAAAAGCCTTCGCGGATGATATTGTATTAACTCTAGAAGACCCGAAAAATAGTATGAAAGAAGCCTTGCAAAAATTTGAAGAGTTTGGAGCGGTGTCAGGCCTCAAGATTAATAAAAATAAGACTAAAATGTTGACTAAAAATTTAACTAAGGAAGATATTCTAGAACTAGAACAAAAGACGGGAATTATGACAGCAAAGAAAGTGAAATACCTTGGAGTGTGGATATCAACGAAAAATATTAACCTATATAAGGATAATTATGAAGTCACTTGGAAGAATATTAAGAAAGATCTTGAAATCTGGGAGAGATTGAGGTTATCTTTTCTGGGGAGGATGGCGGTTATCAAAATGAATGTTCTCCCCAGAATGTTATTTTTGTTCCAAACCATTCCGGTATTAAAAGGTCTAAAGCAGTGTAAAGAGTGGCAAAGAGCCTTAGCGAGATACATCTGGCAAGGCAAAAGACCACGAATAAAAATGAAAATATTGGTGGACAAAAAAGAAAGAGGGGGATTCTCTCTACCGGATCTAAGTTTATATTATGAAGCGGCGTGTTTATTGTGGCTGAAGGATTGGATAAGATTGGAAAATAGGGACATCTTGGACTTGGAAGGTTTCGATAACAGGTACGGGTGGCACTCGTACCTGTGGTACGAAAAGGTGAAAGTTCATAGAGGCTTTCTAAATCATATCTTTAGGGGACCATTATTCCAAGTATGGGAAAGAAATAAAAATATATTGGAAAGGAAGACACCTTGGTGGATTTCACCAATAGAGGTGTTAACTATAAAAAAAATAAACATGGAAGGGAAGAATGCCACCTATGAAGAACTAACTTGGAAGACAGAGCAAGGGATTAAACTTAGACCATATGAAGAGATCAAAAATCTATTTACAGGGTGGTTGCAATACCACCAAGTAAATGACTTGCTAAAAGAAGACAAAAAGAAAGTAGGATTTGAAGATAAAAAATCTAAATTTAATGTAGAAGTTATAGAAGGTAAGAACAAAACACTGTCAAGGATGTATGATATTTTGCTGGAGTGGTATACAAAAGATGAGGAGGTGAAGGAGGCCATGATTAAGTGGGCGATAGACATTGGATATAACATCGACTTTGAGAGGTGGTTGGAACTATGGAACAAGAATATGAGATTTACGGCATGCACGGCACTAAAGGAAAACCTGTGGAAAATGATCTACAGGTGGTATCACACACCAGTGAAATTAGCGAAGATTTATAAGTTGAAGGAAAAAAGATGCTGGAAATGTAGAGAGGTAGAAGGTGACCTCTACCATATGTGGTGGTCGTGTTGCAAAGTGAGAGGCTTTTGGGAATTGGTTTATAATGAACTTAAAAAAATCTTGAAATATACATTTCCCAAAAAGCCAGAAGCTTTTTTGTTAGGAATGGTTGGTAAAGAAATTAAAAAAGAAGACAAGATCTTGTTTCTATATGCTACGACAGCTGCAAGGATTATGTTAGCACAAAATTGGAAATTAGAAGTAATACCCAACATAAGTGATTGGCAGGTTAAAATGATAAATTATGCTGAGCTTGATAGAATATCAGGAAGATTAAGGAACCAAGACGAACAGAAATTTCATGATAATTGGAAGAAATATTTAATGTATATGGAATCTAAATCTCAGGTGACACTGGCGGGGTTGAAATAACTCTAACAGCGGGAAAGGCCTATGTGAAAGAGTTAAAAAGTACGCGACAATATAACTTATTCGATACTTACCAAAGGAGTGGAGGGAAGTCCAAGGTTCAGTTGAGGCTAACTTAGTTATGTATTTTATTTATGATTTGTGAAGTGGATATAATTTGTATAAGGTATGTGGTGGATTTTTTGTTTATGTTTTCCTTGTAAATATGTGCAAATATGAATAAAAATTTATTTAACAAAAAAAAAAAAACCTCTCCATGCCCCAAGGTCTTGAAGGGGAACCCCAATCAACACGCTAAAATCATGCTAATAACTGTGACATACAAGGTCTTTTTTGAAGAAGCACCTTTGCTAGGGAACTGCTTGTCATTAAGGGGCTGCAAATGTTGGTTCCATCTCAATCATTTCAACAAAACTATTTTATCCTATGTGGACTTTGAGTGAGCAAGCTACTAGGTCTACACATTCCCCTCCAATGGCAGATGAATCAAAGGCAAACATTCCCTTGAGCTACCTCAGAGCATGAGGCAATCCAGGACCTGAATAGTCTGAGGTGAAGCAAGCTGGTTGCAAGGCTTCAGAAGCACCATAGAGCTGTGCCACCATAGAGCCTTGGAATAGCATTTTATTTTTCTTGCCCAATTTGATACATTTTTGTATCTTCCGCAAATGTCCCCAAAGGTAACTACCAGGCGGTGAAGAGGAGGAGGAGATGGTGGCAGAGAAGGCACATTTAGTGATTTATCTCAAAGCCTGGGCAAGCTCATATATGGAGATACAGTTCTTCAGATAGCCTGGACCCAAGCCAAATATAACCAGCACTTGGAATTGTGCCAGAAAATGGACAAGTAGTCACAGGAAGTGTCTGTTCTGCCTGTAACCAGCTCCAGTCAGAAATCTCATCTCAGCCTTTTGGACTGAAGCTTCCAAACACTTTCCAAAGGCATCCCCATACACAGCATGTTACTGTAATCCAAATGGGATGTAACTAAGGCATGTAGCCAGATCAGACATCTTTAGGAACAGGTGCAGATGGCACACTAGTTTTAAAACGTGTTAATGTACTGTTGGCCACTACTAAAACCTGAGCATCTAGGCTCAGGCTTGAATCCAGGAGTGCACCTCAGTTGTGAACTTGAATTTAATGCAATCCAGCACAAATTGGATCCCTAATCCTCGATCAGCCTTTGACTGATCAGGATAACCTGTATCTTGCCTAGATACATCCTCATCCAGTCGATTACTGACACCAGACACTGGTTTAGCACTGAAACAGCTTCCTCAGATTGAGATAGAGTTGGAAGTCATCTGCATATTGGTGGCACCGAACCCCCAATCCCTGGGCAACCTCTCCCAGCAGCTTCATGTCAATGTTAAATAGTATGGGGACAGGATAGGACCCTGAGGGATACCAGAGGCCAATGACCAGGGCAGAGGCAGATTTAGGAGAGTGTGACTGGTTACAGAGCTTTGGGGGTGCCACAGTGGGCACCACAACTATGTTGTAGAATGGAAGACAAGAGGTAGGGGTGCCGAATTATGGCATCACACTGGCCAGGGCATTGAACAGGAGTTCCCCAGCATCCCCTGCTGGGCTTGTCCCTCCAAGAAGGACTGGAGCCACTGTATGAGAGAAAGCACTTTCATCTATCTATCCACCTGTCCACCTCATTCACATGGAAAGTGAGGAGCAAATCGAGAAACAGCAAATGGCACTTACAGGCTGACCACCCCACCATGCAGGATTATTCTTGGTATCTGAAGAAAGCGAAAAGTTCTGGTTTAATTTTACATCGTACATATTGTTGTCAATGATGCCATGGGATTCTGGGTACAAACCCTGGGGAAAGAAAACACAAAGTGAGTGTACTCTGTGCCTTGATATGTACATTGGGTCGCATCACTAGAAGCTAATGCTGCTAATGTCAACCCCGATGTCTGATTTCTTTTTAACATTTATTGTCCACTAACAATGAATCCCATCTCTGTGCAGCCAAAACTGCACTCTTGAAACACCAGAGGGAACTGTCAGCAGACTTGCAGAAGGTTTTTAGATCTAAAGCAACATCAGCAAACCAAGGTGAGAGAAACCCACGAAAACAGCCTAGCATGAACAGAATAGGTGGGGCAACAGGACTGGGGAACTGGGTGAGACAGGAGGTAGAATGGTACATCACAGAAAAGGGCATGGCTGGCTGGCTGGCTGAACTGAAATACTCTACCTAACAGCAACTTTTGGCTTCAACCTTCTGGTTTCAACAAACAGAAGTACGATTGTTACCTGATACATGCATGGATTAATCACTCCTTATTTCCTCCTAACTATCATTTTGCAAAAGAGAGCTTTAACTGTGAAGTCCTGTGAATGTTTCCTCAGAAGTCTGTACTACAGATTTCTAAATGACTAGTAAGCCACCTCATGAGAAGAGAAGACTCCCTGGAAAAGACCCTGGTGTTGGGAAAGATTGAGGGCACAAGGGGAAGGGGATGACAGAGGACGAGATGGTTGGACAGTGTTCTTGAAGCTACGAACACGAGTTTGACCAAACTGTGGGAGGCAGTGGAAGACAGGAGTGCCTGGCCTGCTCTGGTCCATGGGGTCATGAAGAGTCGGACACAACTAAACAACTAAACAACAAAAAGTAAGCCTGCTTAGAATTAAAGCCCTAGGCTGTATATGCACCTGCATTTAAAGGACATCCCCACACACAAAAATCCTAGGAAGCTCACAGAGCTACAATTCCCAGCACCCTTAATAAACTATAGTTCCCAGGAATCCTGGTGTGTGTGCTTTAAATGTATGCTGTGCATTCAGTCTAAGGCTCTAGAGACACAGCAGTGAAATGTCCATAAGGAGGGGCATCAATCGCCTGTGCCAAACACATATTCCTATGTCCTGCTTCCACCTCTCATCAAAGGGGCTACCATTCTAGTACCAAAACAAATCTGTTTTCTTTAGGTGGACCTTTGGGGAATGAAGAAGCTGGTGTTTACTTTCTTCTGCTTTGCTGTTGTTTTAGATTCTTGTTAGATAATTATTACGGTTTGGTGGGAATCTAATGTTGTTCACTGTGTGTTCGTTAAGAGCAGAAAGGTGGGATATAAACATTTTTAGAAATGAAATAAAGCACCTAGCTTTTAAAACAATAGTGACACAGCAGAAGTAATGGCGACAAAAAAAGGCACACACAAAAAGTACTTACAGTGACAATAGTATAGTGGTTTACAAAGGTTTTGGTTGGATAAACAGCTCTCATGTACTTTGAATGGGTCCCACATGTTTCTGCAACAAATGGTGCTTTGTAAATATAGTAAATTATAACCATGACATAATATGGCATATATGCAAAACACAGAGCATGCACACCTCTTTTAAAACTTATTAGGAACATAGGAAGCTGCCTTACACTGAGTCAGATCATTGGTCCCTTTAGCTCAGTATTGCCTATGGTATTTGAAGAAGAAGAAGAAGAAGAGTTTGGATTTGAGTTTGGATTTGACCCCCTTCAGGAGTCTCAAAGCGGCTAACATTCTCCTTTCCCTTCCTCCCCCACAACAAACACTCTGTGAGGTGAGTGGGGCTGAGAGACTTCAAAGAAGTGTGACTGGCCCAAGGTCACCCAGCAGTTGCATGTGGAGGAGTGGAGACGCGAACCCGGTTCCCCAGATTAGGAGACTACCGCTCTTAACCACTACACCACACTGGCTCTCATTTGGAGCTCTCCAGAGTCGTTCTCACCCCTTCCTGGAGATGATAGGGATTAAACCTTGGACCTTCTGTGCACGAAGGAGATGTTCTACCACAGAGCTACAGCCCTTCCCCAAGGCCCCTTGCTTGTAGAAAATACTTTTCATAGAACATTTCCCGTTAGCCAGAATGTGGGCGTTTTTCTCTGGGTATAATCCCCCCCTCCCTTTTCGACTGCAAGATGCATCTTGCACTGACTGACACTGCATAGCTTTTGCAGGTCAGTCACACCCGTTTGCTCAGGCTTGTGAAGGGTGGAGGAGAGAAGATGCTTCTTCCACTCCCTGCGTGGTGTCACACTGATTTGCCTCTGCTTTTATTATTATGCTGCATTGTTGTTTTTCTTGCGGTTTTCCTTGTGCTGTCATGTTATGCAACCAGCCCTGGGTCTTTGGACGGAAGGGTGGATAATAAATCTCAATAATAAATAAAGGAGCAGGGAGAGGCTGGGGTTAGAAAATGACATAGAACTTCTCTCTTTGAGGGACTGTCTGGTCCAGCCTGGTTTCATGATAGGGAACAAGGAAGGACAGCAGGGGCCTTGAAGCTGTAACAGTTGCATCTGGGCAACAGACAGGCAGAGCAGGCACGCAGGCTCACTCACCTTGCAGATCTATTTAAACTGTAGCATTTATTTATTTATTTATTTATTTATTTATTTATTTATTTTAAATCTGCATCTGCACATTCACAGTATGAACCCAAATTTCATGCAAATCTGTGCCCCTTTTTCTTCTTTTTTAGAAGATGCTTTTCTTCCCTTTTTTGACAGTGCAAAGTAGGTCACCCTACTTTAAAGTTCAAGCAGCAACTCCCTGATCCACCTCCTCTGAGACCCATTTTTTCTCTCCCTCTGCTAAATTTCAACACTAGGAGCAATACCTATATGCAAGTAATTCAAACATTTCTTTCTGCAGAATGAATTTTTAAAAATTATTCATCCTCAGAACAAGATGACTTACTGAGCTTTCCAATATTTGGCAGTAAATAGCCCCAAGTTTCCAAGTATTCTGCCCTGAAGCCATCCATTGAAAAAAGAATAAGCGGTGGCAGATCAAACCTGAAGGTCAAGAACACAGAGTCAAAAGTCAGGAGGATATTTGGGTGCTTGCTGAGAAACATTAGTTGCCATCTTCCTGAAAAATTAAAGATTAGACAGTCCACATATGAATGTTAGAAACTCTGTGGGCAGGATTCAAGTAATGAGTCACATCAGCGGGAGCCCTGTGCAAGAACTTTCACTTGTATAATGGGACTTCCCCCCTCCTCTCCCTGCCACCACCCCAAAATTGGGTCAGGAGGTCAGGGGGACCCCCCAGTACATTTTGCAATGGGAAAAGACAAGGAGAGATGTTCCATCTAGCAAACTTAAATGTGTGCAGACTTAGAAGAGTGTGATGTTGAATTGTTCCCTGAATTGATTTTAGGTCACAGGGGAACTAAAAGGAAGGCTGGCTATTGAGGGAAAGTCATGTTCTTCTGCCTGCCAGTATGGAAAAGGGGGCCTTGCCATGGGCTAGCTCCTCAATCAAAGACCAGGAAAAGTGTGGGAGAAGACCCTGAAATTACATCATTCCCAATGTAGGAAGCTGCAGACCTCCTGAAGCTCATCCATGAACCTCCATGGATGACAAGTTAAGAAACTCTGTTGGCATCTGTCTGTCTCAAGCCAGAGGAGATTTAGGATCAGAGTTTTCCTTCTCCTAGATGGGCTACCTTCCCAGGTGGACAAGCCCTATCTGCCCCCCCCCATTTCCCTCTACAGCAGACGCAGAAACCACCTTCTTGACTGTTGGACACACAGTTGGTCTTGTCCTCTCAATCCACCGCAGCCTGTATTCACATGCGGAGGAAGTCCCTAACTCACCTGTAGAGTGTTATAAAACCTGCTGTAGCTATTTCATAACACTTCTGCTGTTATTTTTCAAAGACAGCCAAAATAGGACAAGTAAGAAACACATTTATGATTTTATGGAAGACTATTGATCAAAGACTCAATGCACATAGACACTTACATCATACATGGTGATAAGCCAGAACTATAAGCAATCTCCTGACCAATTGGACCCTACATGATAATCTACTACTGCTTTATGATTTCATAACTCATTAACCGATTTGAAAATGATGAAAGTAAGTCGAGAACCAATGTAAAGTGCAACTATTGATTTAGGGGTCAATAATGCATTTATAAAGCCCCTGAAAAACCCTAGCATAAAACATACATGTTTAAGATTCAGAACCTCCTAATCTTTCTGCAAATGCTTTTCAGGATTGCTATTTTGCTCCCGACGTACTTTTCTTTTGATCTTTCATAACGAGTGTTCTGTTTCTGAGCCGAATCAGACTTTCCTCAAATACTGCAGTTCTTCACGTACTTATTCCAAAGCAAGTTTAAAACGAAGCTTATTCCAAAGTTTGTGTGCTTTGAGCATCAGTGCAAAGCCTCTGCTGAGGAAAGCATGCTTGGGGTTGCCCCAGTAGATAAATTCACTATCAGGTACTGATACTATCTACAAGAAGATAGCTAGTGTTTGCAGGAAAAGCTGTCAGCTGACTGTACTTAAGACTAAGGGTCAAGTTACACATAACATGCTAATGTCTGTAGCAAAAAAAAAACCCTGGTGGCTCCTTCCAAAGAAGGGGCAATTCATGGAGGGGCAATTTGGAATGGAGAAAGGACAGGAAGGAGGAAGTGCAAATTTTCTGATGCAACTTCCCCTTCCAATGTCACTTTTCCCTCCATGGAGTTCCAAACACCTGAACATTTGTATTGCTCTGTAAAGAGACCTGCACGAAGTGTTCCAGGGTTCATGGGATTCTCATCTGTCTTTTCAAATTGGAAGTGTAGGTTATAGGGACTTCATAAAGGAGCACAGGTGCTCCTTAGAACCCCTTAGAGTGGGTTTCAGAGATTCCTTCTGCAAAGAGATCCAGCAGAGGATCTGTTAAGGAACATGTTTAATGGGTTAATTTCACATGAGTTGTTAATGCTGACTCATTCCCTACAGTGCAACTGTCTTATATCTGTTGCTGGGCAGAATTTGTACCTAGATATGGAACGAAAGTTGCAGTGTTCGGCGCTGGGAAAGTGTGGGAGATCTGAACAGTGGAGACTGATTGGAATCGTGGAAAAAACAGAACACTTTGTGAAGAGCTGCAAGGACTTTGGAAGCAGCTGAAGTCAGGACTTGCTGTGGACTTTGGGGCAGCAAGAATTCTGAAGCCAAGAACCCTTTCTGGGATCAGAGGGAGATGACTATTTGTAAAAACTGTGTATGGTGTGTGTATATTGTAGTGTATGTCTGTGTGTGCCAAGTACAAGTGAGCTCTGCTAAACAACTGTTTCATGTGACAAGCGCAAGTGCTTGACTGAGTTTCTGTGGCTCATGTACACAGAACATACCCGAGAAGATCTCATGATGGAGGGTGAAGGAAGTGCATGTTCTTGTTGCAGGTTTGGGCAGCTCAAAGCACAGCAACAGAGAAAGTGTTCTCCAAATGCAATGCAGGAAATGAGAAAGAATGCCTATGCAGCAGTTACACAGAGGGTAATTGCAGTGGTGCACAGTTAAAATAGGCTGTCAGGATAGCAGAGCAGAGGCAATTCTGTGGTAAGGTAAAAGAAAGGGAAATCTGAAAATACCATTAGGGTACAGCACTAAACTTTTTCTCAGAAGTCGCTGTAATTATTCATGAACTTGCAGAACGATGTAGCCCATACTTTTTATATGGTCTTCTAAGCTGTGACTAAGGGATGCGGGTGGCGCTGAGGTCTAAACCACAGAGCCTTGGGCTTGCCAATTAGAAGGTCGGCAGTTCAAATCCCCGCGACGGGGTGAGCTCCCATTGCTCCATCCCTGCTCCTGCCCACCTAGCAGTTTGAAAGCACGTCAAAGTACAAGTAGATAAATAGGTACCGCTCCAGTGGGAAGGTAAATAGCATTTCTGTGTGCTGCTCAGGTTCACCAGAAGTGGCTTAGTCATGCTGGCCACATGACCCGGAAGCTGTCTGCGGACAAATGCCAGCTCCCTCAGCCTGTAGAGTGAGATGAGCTCTGCAACCCCAGAGTCGTCCGCGACTGGACCTAATGGTCAGGGGTACCTTTACTTTTACCTTTAAGCTGTGACTAACATCAATTTGGAATGATGGTTCTCAATAAATAAAAAAATATTTGTGTGCTTATTTACATAACAAAACCACAAAAAATACAGACATCCTAAGTGGACAGTTGTGAATACATTAATCTTACCCTTCTGGACACTGAGCTGTGTTAGAAGAGGTACAACTTTCTTTCAACCAGGATGTTTCTTCTGGAGGAGGAAAAAACATACAAAAAGATGCATTTGAATGAAAGAGAGAGAACTGAGTCAGTTCTTAGCTTCACCTCAGATCTTTGTGAAAGCCTGTTTGAATGTCATAAATGCTTTTAAAAAAAATTGTTTAGCCAAGCCCATCCAGATATGTAGAAGCCATTCTTTATGTGGTTGTATACCATCTGAAGGAGTGGGTGTGTAGCTTGTTGATACTTCTAGATGCTTTGCAGCTTCTTGAGGCACAAGTGGCCTCAGCAGCACAGAGTGTTTTCCATCCATCTTTGGTTGGTGACCCAGCTGTCTGGTTAGGGATAGCCTAATTACTATTGTCTATGCTCTGATAACCTCTCGGGTAGATTGTTGCAATGTTTAATATGTAGGACTTCCCCTGAAGACATTTCGGAAACTACACCTGGTGCAGAATCCGGCAACCAGGTTGCTTACTGAGGCAAGAGCATATTACACCGATCCTGGTCCAACTGCACTGGCTGCCAGCTAGTTTCCTGGCCCAATTCAAAGTGTTGGTTTTGACCTTTAAAACCTGAAACAACTCAGGATCGCAATGCCTCAAGGACCGCCTCTGTACATATGAACCGACCCAGACCCTGCAATATCATCTGAGGCCCTTCTTCATGTGTCTCCTCCATGAGAGGTCCAACCACACCTTTGGCTGATTAACATCCTATACGCTTTTAAATATGTTTGTGGGAGAGGGTGGGGGAATGGAATTACAAGATGGTGGCATCAGGATAGAATAGACAGAGAGAGCCCAAGCTATGCATGCATGCATGAATGAATGAATGAATAAATAAAGTAAGTTAAAGGCAAAGTGAAGACTGCACACGCTCAGTAGTTTCCTGGAGTCACAGAATGTTGTGCATCAATTGGAAAAGCAAAATGGAGGGGTGGAGGATGAATTTGGTTGCTTGATCCCTTCATATCTCAACAGTATCCAGGATAATAAAGGTATTGTGGAATACGAGCATTTAGGGAGTGGGGATATAATGGAACCTGTTGCTTTCTCCAATTGCATTGCAGCTGCTTCATTTGGTCAATAATACTCATTTCAGGAAACATACTTAGCTATGCATGAGAATGCTTTTGGAACTGTTCACCTTTGCAAGTGCATCATTTTCTCACAATGCCCAACTAGGTGACTATGAGAAGCCCACAAGCAAGAACAAAACAGCACTCTCCCCTCCTGCGGTGTCCAGATACTGGTATTCAGAAGCATAATCCCTCCAACCATGGAGGCAGAACATAGCCATTGTGGCTAGTAGCCACTGGTAGTCTTTATCCTCCATGATTTTCTCTAATCCTCTTTTTAAAGCCAGTTGGCTATCTGAACCTGCTAAGCAAGCAAGTTCCTTGGTTTAACTATGCAGTGTCTGAACCAAATTTGTTTATGCTGGCTAGGGTTGATGAGAGTCCAAAATCAGGGGGTACAGGTTCCCCATCCCTGCCCCACAACAATGGCAGGTATGCCTCAATCTGGTGACCTCCAGGTGTTTGGGGTTAAACAGTCCTTGATCACTGGCCATGCTAGGTGAGACATGATGGGTGTTGGACTCCAACAACAGGTTGAGGAAGGATAAATAAAGGAGCAGGTGCCTCCTTAGCTGTTGTTGTTTTTTAAAAAATTATTTTATTCTTGTAAACCTCAGGGTTCCTATCAGCATGTTGATCATAGAATCATAGAGTTGGAAAGTACCAAAAGAGTCATCTACTCCAACCCCCTGAAAGGCAGGAATCTTTTGTCCAATGTGGGTGTTGAACCCATAACCCTGATATTAAAAGTCTCATGCTGTACCACCTATCCCAGCTGTGTCCTTATTCAAACCTAGTCAGCACTCACCACTTGAGTTTATTATTAGACGGAATGTTGTGAACTTTAATTCCTAGGATGTTCAAAAAATATTTTAAGATCAGTGAAGGCTGAGAATTCATATTCTCGTCATATCTGGAAAACCATTCATCCATGAATTATCAAATATTTTTGGTTATAGTACTTTGGAATGTGGGTGTGCTCAGATTTCAAATATTACGTCATTTCTTCTAACCTACTTTACTTTTCTTTTACTTTGGCACAATGTTAGGTACACAACATTCTATGACTGGTTCGTGTAGGCTTCATGGGCATTTATTGTGCAGCTTTCAGTTGCTTTTGGGTGGAAATGCAATTTCCCCACAAGGGAAATTTGGCAGAACAAATTGATAGAATACATATAATTAGTAACCATGACCATGAAACTGAGGAATAAGGACGAGTTAAAGATAAGAGAAGAGTGGAGGTGTTTTGGAGATTATCTTAGAGGGTATAATATACAAATTAACCTTCAAGTAGGAGTTACATATGAGAAGCAGGTAACATCAAAAAGGAAGACTTGAAATGATAATGGGTGAAATATTAGGATATGCAACAGATCAAGATTTCCCTAGAAAAATGCCACAGAGAGATGGATCAGGAAATCTTAGGAAAACAGATAAGTGATGGATACTGCATGGTATGTGTATAAAAGCTGTTAAAATTTCATAAATAAAAGTTAAAGAAAGAAAGAAAAGCTTTTCATGTCACCTTATCTCCCTGCCTGTGGCAACTGGTAACAGCAATGATTTTATAATATAATTGTAACATTTCAGATCATTCTGAACTATGGACACCTATAATTCTGTGCCCAATTAGAAAACAAGTACAAAATCAATTTCTTCCCTTGTTACAAAGAAATGTTAACAGACTTTCAGCACTATTCATATTTCTATGTATAAATAGAGGATGCAATCCATTGAAAGTTAAATCTGTTTTAACAAACCTTTGTTACTTCATATTCCCTCCCCCCAATCCAAATTGAAAACTAGAAGCCAAATGGGGAAAGGTTTGTATAGAGGAGCATTCAGTCATGTCACACACACACACACACACACACACACACACACACACACACACCTCCAGATGTTTGATGTGGCAGAGCCTGAACAGAGTCTGACCTACCATTAGGCAAGTGAGTCAGCTGCCTTAGGTGGCAGATTGATTTTATTTTATGTCAACCATTGGTGTACTGTTTAATTTCAGTCTTGTAAGCAGCGTACAACAGACTCAATACAATAAGACTCAAAATAAGACTCAAAATGAGTTAAAACTATAAAATCAAATAAAGTTCAAATAAAAAGTATGCTGGGGGGCGGGGGAGTATTCCAAAAGCGCTGTAAGTTCAGCAGGGATGAGGCCTGTCTGATCTCAACTGGAAGTGAGTCCCACAAAATTGGGCCCACACTACTGAATACATGGCTTCTTGCAGATACAAGTCATGCATCTGAGCCATAGGCAGTGGCGTAGCGTGGGGGGTGCAGGGGGGGCTGGCCGCACCGGGCGCAACATCTGGGGTTAGGGCAAATCCACGGGTTAGGGGGCACAAATCCATGGGTTAGGGGGCGCAAATTACTTGCCTTGCCCCGGATGCTGACAACCCACGCTACGCCGCTGGCCATAGGAGACCACTAACAAAGACTGAGCAAGGATAGAAATCACAGTGGCTGGCATTCAGATACTGGCATTCAGAGGGGAGGCAGTGGCAACAGTCCCTCTGGCCTCTCCCCCTGAGCTTCCCTCAGGCATTCCCATATGATGGAGGACAGAGCTGTGTTTGCCACACGGCCTGACTTACGCACCTGCTGCCATGACTGAAGTATGATTCAGTACCAATCTGGTTGACTTCTGCTTGTGAAATGGGAAGCAAGCACCATATTGGTCTTTGCCTCAGGCAGCAAATGTATTGGGTTGCCCTTGAGCCCAGACATAAGTTTTAACATCTCACTTAAAACTAAACTTGAAGCATATCCCCTGGACAGGGCTGGCCCAAGACAGTTTGGCACTTGAGGCAAATGACAAAATGGTGCCTCCATCCCCACCAGGGAAGAAGCGGTGTTGAAGAACTATATCAGGAACAAAGGGGGAATGAAGATCAGGATCTGCTGCCACTGTGGATCCTGCCACCTGAGGCAGTCATCTCACCTTGCCTCATGAGCCCTGCTCTAGACCTAAGACATTTTTGACCCCCTTTTAGTAAATTGAGGAGATTGTGAGATTACCTTCTCGTGTTTTCCTTAGTCCAAGTCCCAAGCCTAGTCCAAGGGATACAGCCACCAAAGAAACTAGAAGAACCTGTTACAAAATAACGTATGTGTCACAGAGTATGAAAATAAACATATTGCATATATGTGGTTAACAAACGGTCCTTCCCCGTGAATGGAAACAATCTCTCTCTCTCTCTCTCAAATGTGGGCCTCTACAGTAGCAAGGGGTTTGGGAATTGCAGCTAAAGTCAGATGGAGATGAGCCTGCAAGCTGCAGCACACAGAGCTCAGTGAAGGTCTGGAACCTATCAGGATGTCCATTGGGGTGGCAGCTGCTGTAAATCTTTACCTTTGCTCAGCCTGTGTAAAGTGCATAAATGAACCATATATCACAAAATGTCAAGAAGGCTTAAATGACTTCATTCCACAGGAAACAGAACCAGAGCAACACACTGGATTTCTGGAGATCTCATTGCTGAGAGAATTGGAATACATGCAACAATGCTTGTTTGGTTAGGAGCAGAGGGAGCTGTCTTACAGTCAGTCAGGTCATTGGTGTGATCTAGCACAGCACTGTCTGCAGTTCTTCAAGCCAGTGGGCACTTTTGAAATTTTGAGAAAGTGCCTGGGTGCCAGTCACAAAATGGGGGCATGACATATCATAAAATGGATGCCATAGGGGCACAGCACAACAGAAAATGAATTTTTGCCTTTTGTTATTATTATTATTTTAAACATCTTTATTGAAAGTTCAAAAGTACATGATTATATGTGCACTAAAAATAGTAAAGGTAAAGGGACCATTGACCACTAGGTCCAGTCGCTGACAACTCTGGGGTTGTGGCACTCATCTCGCTTTATTGGCCGAGGGAGCCGGCGTACAGCTTCCGGGTCATGACCAAGCCACTTCTGGCGAACCAGAGCAGCGCACAGAAAAGCCGTTTACCTTCCCGCCGGAGCAGTACCTACTTGCACTTTGACGTGCTTTCAAACTGGTAGGTTGGCAGGAGCAGGGACCAAGCAACGGGAGCGCACCCCATCATTGGGTTTCAAACCGCCAACCTTCTGATCGGCAAGCCCTAGGCTCTGTGGTTTAACCCACAGCGCCACCCGTGTCCTCACTAAAAATAAATAAAAGAGAGAAAAAGAAAAAAAGAAACAGAACCCGTGTAGAAGGGAAAATAAAGTGGGGGGGGGGACCAAAACTGTATACTTTACAGGGTTGTTATTGTACTTCACCAGATCTTGACCTATTACAGTATTTGTAAGAATGGATTCCAAATATCATTTAATTTGTCCATGGCAAGTCTGCATTTGTATGCAAGTTTTTCATATGTTGCGAGTTATTCTATTCTATTCTATTCTATTCTATTCATTGTGGAAGGATTTTGTTTACAAAAATTGTGACACATACATTTGGGTGTTTGGAATGGTTCTGTTTCTGGCAGTGTGTGTGTGTGTGTGTGTGTGTGTGTGTGCGCGCGCGCGCGCGCGCATGCACGTGTGCTTGTACATGCCTGAGTATAATAGTTTAAACACTCAAATTAAGTGTTTAAACTGACAGAAGTAGTTCTATGTTGTTGAGATGTGAGAGTAGCTTTTAATTTAACCCTACAGGAAGTCATGTAGTCTAATCTCTAAAGGGGGACCACATGTTGAGATTTCTGCATTGCAGGGGGTCCAACTTGATGACCCTTGGGGTCCCTTCCAACACTATGATTCCTTCTGACCTCACTGATTATAGCTCAACAGCAGCGTAAAATCAGACACTGATCAATGATGGAGTGACTGGCTCTGAAGCCTGCTTGTTCTTCTGAAGATATGCCTCCTCTCTCAAGCCAATCCCAAAACTGCCAGCATAGATTGTCTGGTGTAAAGCTTGCTCATGATGCTGAACAGACTGACTGGAGGACCAGCAAATTCAGGTTACTCAATTACAGTTGATGGGGAGGCAATGTGTAGCAAACCTGTACTGTATCTCCCAAAGATGAGACCTTTTGCAATATGAAAAAGAACAGGGGGGTGCACTGACAACACTTGCTTGACACAACACCATCTACCCTCCTCAGAAACAAGTCCAAATGAATGCTCAATAATTTGACAACATTGTCTAGCCTCCCTGCAAACAGATCAGGACTGGCAAGGAACTATTGTTCGGCTACTGGGCATCCGTTTGGGCATTGTAGGAAACAAGATGCCAGACGAAATGGACATTCTGCCTGATCTTTATTAGCTTGTGTTAATCCATATTCTCCAAGGTAAAGGTAAAGGGACCCCTGACCATTAGATCCAGTTGTGGCCGACTCTGGGGTTGCGGCGCTCATCTCGTTTTATTGGCCGAGGGAGCCGGCGTACAGCTTCCGGGTCATGTGGCCAGCATGACTAAGCCACTTCTGGCGAACCAGAGCAGCGCACGGAAAAGCCATTTACCTTCCTGCCGGAGCAGTACCTATTTATCTACTTGCACTTTGACGTGCTTTCGAACTGCTAGGTTGGCAGGAGCTGGGACCGAGCAACGGGAGCTCACCCTGTCGTGGGGATTTGAACCGCCGACCTTCTGATCGGCAAGTCCTAGGCTCTGTGGTTTAACCCACAGCAACACCCACGTCCCAATATTCTCAAAAACACTGCTGCAAAACCTACTGTTTGGAACAGCATAAGCAGGGACAGCATGGCCCAGCAGCCCAGGACATCTCTGTCCAGCATGCTTCACTGAGCTCTCAGCTTCAGACAAAAGGGTGGGCAGAACCAAACAGAACATTATGAAATAGACAGTTGCTATCACCTCATGAGGTCTGCACGAAACCCTAGGTCTGCACGAAACGGAGGTTACTAAAGTGAAGGGGGGATGTGAGGTGACGGGAAGGAGGTTTGAGTTTTTGAGTAAGGTGTGCACTGGTAACAAGAAGAGAGAACAAAGAGGAGTCCTCCATGAGCTGCTGGAGTGCAGACCCATCTTGGGAGGCTGGGGGAGAGGGACAGGAACGGCATGCAGGGTGACTTGGACTGTAATGCTGTGCTGCTGTGCAGAACAAGCCCCACTTGAGATGTAACACTGTGAATTCTCTCCCTCTCCAAGGAACTCTCTTGATGCATCTAGGTGTAAAATAAACCCTATGTCTTAAAACGCTACTGCCTCTGCCGTATCTGAACTCTCAATGGAAACATGCCCCTGGGTGGAACCCCCTGGAATCTCGCTGCCACTTGGTAGAGGTTGCCACTTTTGTATGGTATCTTCCAGATGAGCAGAATCTTAAGAGCAAGATTGCCAGCTAGTTTGTGCAGTTCAAGAAGGTTTAGCTCAGAGGATAGGTTTTGAACATATATGGGTGTTTTCTTGTTAATGAAACATCACCAGGTGTGAAATGCATTGTGCAGAGATACCGTGAAATATTTGAGGTATCTGCATTCTTTATCTCTTCGGCTGAGGAATGGAATAGGCAGAAGGTTGAGTGGGCAAATGGAGGGACATCAAGACCATTCCCTTCATTTCTCCCAGTGCCTCTTCTTGCTTGCCCACCTCCAGTCCATCTATCCCTTGCCAGGTTCTCCACCTCTGCAGTTTTCTTCCCCCATCATGAGAGTCCTAAGACTGTCTCCCTCTCTCTCACTCACACACATTTCTCCCTACCTCTCATATTTCCCATCTTTCCTCTTAATACCAGTTTGACTCCCACCCATTTCCACCTCCCACAGTTCTTCCTGTCACCAGAGAGCTAATATAATCACATACAGAGACCCTTCTTCCCTCTACCAAGCCTTCCTTTAACCCCATTCCCAAGCCATTTACTATTGAGAAAAGTCCCCTTCTTTCTCATCCTTCCCCCTTCTCCTTTCCCTGTCCCTGCCTTTCGGACATTGAGAAACACCACATCATTATGGCAGACCAGTACAAATATTCTCTCTCTCCCTCCCTCTCTCTCCCTCTCTCTCTCTCTCTCTCTCTCTCTCTCTCTGTGTGTGTGTGTGTGTGTGTGTGTGTGTAGACACACATAGGTATAATGAGGGTTGATAGCATTGTATAAATCATTGCCATCGTAGCTTCAAAAGATATTGTGGCTTGGGTAAGTGGTAAAATATTTCTACTGATCCTTCTCAATGTCTTTAGGTTAAATGTCAGGAATAAATCCATTAAAAAAAAAAACTCCATAGGAATTTTAAATTTTGTAAGGATTTTGAAACAATATGCAAATTAGGCTATCTGGATTTCTTTGTGGTGGTGGAGGAATGTTGTTGTTGGCATCTGTCTGTCTTGAGAGACAATGGAAGAGTGTGCTGTTGGGGGCAAAGTCAAACCATTGGAGAATTACAGTGCCTGCTGTGGCTGCAGAAGAATTAGAATATGGTGGTGGGATGGGGCAACATGAATAAAGCTATATAAGCCTTTATACAACACCAGCAAAAATCACCAAGGATGAAAGACACATATTATAGCTTTTCTCATACCATAGATTGATTGCCATACCCAATAAGCGAAGCAAAAGCAAAAGTTTCTACTTAGCAGTGATTTCCAACTTATTTGTAGAAGACCAGCAGAATTGTGTCTTTGTAGGGGAGCCAGAGCTATGGATCCCATTCCCTATCCTCCCATGTCGGCCTTACCTTACGCTGCATATCTCCAACAGCACTACTCTGGATATTGTGTGCAGAGCTCTTCCTTCTTTCCTCCTGTGCTAGGGATATGTGCTGTACTTCCCCAAGTGGAGCCAAAATATGAAGACAGACTTACGCAAACTTACGCAGCATGTGGGAGAAGGAATGGAGACAGGTTCAAAGGATCCAATGCCTACCTCCCAGCTTTCATCCCACCACCCCAGCTTCCATGCTTAGCTGTGTTTTATTTATTCAACTTACAATATTTATAATTGGCACTTCATTCAATGAAACAGAACGTAACAGTTTCAACCAAGCTGAAAGTACTTTTTCACCTGGTGCATAGTTAAACTATAGCCTTCACTCCCACAAGAGGCACTGATTGCCACCAACCTATGTGGCTTTAAAAGAGAATTAGAGTGCTCTTGTGCTTGGCTGCTGCTTTTAGAACACCATGCAAAACTGCATTCAAATGCAGTTTTGAATTGTGTTCTATAGTGAGTACTGCACTGAACCCCTTTTTGTATAATTGGTTCCTGCTTTTGGCATCTGGTTCGCCACCCTGAGAACAGATGCTGAACTAAATGGCTTGTTCCAGTTGGTTCAGCGTATGGGGTGTGTGTGTGTGTGTGTGTGTGTGTGTGTGTGTTTTATCACGACCGATCTCAGGGCAGGGAACAAGGCAGCTGAAGCTGATACTGACTGAGCAAACACCATAAGAAATCCAAAATGAAGTAAAACAAATATAATTGAAACCTAAATCTTTAAAATACAGATCTGTATCGGCGAGTACACTCTCACAAAAACACTGCTTAAAGCACCGAGCAGATTTCCATCTCCAGCAATAACTAATTAAAATTAATATCCTGCAAACGGCTGAGCAAATAGGTTTTCACTTGGCCCCAGAATGAGATGAGGAAGCACTAACTATCTCTCCAAGGCAGATGTGGGGAATCTCTGGCCCTCCAGAAGTTGCAGGACTCCAGTTGCCATCAACCCCAGGAAGCGTGCCTAAATCATCTATGATGATCATTGTATACTATACTATCTACCCTCAATATACTAGAATTGGGGGTGGGGGTAAATGAGCCCCCTTTATCTTTTCTGACATTCTCCTCAACTGTTGTTTACAGCAGTTGTTTACAAGAGGGCTTGCGGAGATGACTGGCAGAATCCGAGACCAGGGAGAGGAGCAAGTGGAAGAAGATTGGGGGAAATTTAAAATCTATTTGCAGAAATATTGTAAAATTTCTGAATGTTGATGACATTGAAATGTACTGTGGGGGTTCTAGCAACAAGATAAAATTTAAGATTAAACCAACAACAGATAAATTAATGGCTAAGAATTTGCTGAACCAACTTTTAAAAGGGATACAAGAACGGGGGATGTGAGGAAGCCAGGAAAATATGTGAATTTAAGATAGAAAACGAAGAAAGAGGGAATTTTTGTGTTTTTCCTATATGTGGTTTTTTTATTATTATTATTAGTTTGTTAATGTATGTATTTTTGTATTTTTGTGTTTAATGTCTGTATTCTTGTATTTTGTAGTATGTATTTTTATATCTCTTTTGTTCTTGTCTTTGTATTTTTCTATTTTCTATTGTGTATTGTTAAAACTTAATAAAAAATTTTAAAAAAAAATACAAGAGGGCTTGCTTTGAATATAACTGGGAGAACTCAGTTTTGTGCATTTTACTTTTTTAAAAAAACACCAAACTGTTATTGAACTTTTTCAATCCTCCTACCTCTTCTGCCACAGTCTTTATGAAAACCAGCGATTCGAGTGAAGGATTAAAGGATTAAAGTTACATAATGACTGGCTTGTAAATATAAGCCTTTGCATCTACACAAGTATTTCCTAAAGTTACGTTCCTAAATGTACTTTGTTTTACCTGTCCTGAATTTTCCAAGATTCAGTTTCACTAGATGTCCACGAGTTCGAGTGTTATGATGGGGGAAAAAACTTTTCTCTATTCACTTTCTCCATGCCATGCATTGTATAAACATTGTAGAAACATCTATCATGTTGCTTTTCCCTCACCTTTTTTCTAAGCTGGAAATTCCCACATACTACAACCTTTACTCATAGGAGAGTTGCTCAGTCCCCTTAACCATTTTGGTTCCTCTTTTCTGACTCTTTTCAAAACTCTACAATATGTAGTCACAGCATAGATATCTATTATGGCATCATGATTTTATTTTCAATTCTTTCCCTGACAATCCCAGGCGTGGAATTGGCCCTTTTCACAGCTGCCGCACACTGAGTCAATATCAAGCTATCTACAGTGGCACCTCAGGTTACGTTACCTTCGGGTAACGTTATTTCGAGTTACAAATGCAGCAAACCTGGAAGTGTATACTTCCGGGTTTTGCCGCACGTGCACGCGCAGAAGCACTCTATCGTGTTGCATGTGTGCGCAGAAGCGGCGCCTCCAGATACGGACTTTTTGGGGTAAGTATGGACTCCTGGGACGAATTAAGTTTGTATCCGGAGGGTCCACTGTACTATCTACTATGACCCTAAGGTCTCATTCCTATTCAGTCACTGCTGGTTCAGATCACATGAGTGTTTATATGAAATAAAGATTATTATTTTTTTGCACTGACATGCAAACACACCCACAACTTCTGTCCAAAACCACTTCAACCTGCATGTTTGTTTTTGTAGTTGAAGTCACTTTATTGAAAATTTGGGTTTTCTTTAAGTCAAGGAAAGGCAGGGCACTGTGCTCCTTGCCCTGCTGCCAAACTCATGTCTGCTTAACTCATCAAATGCTAAGCTCTCATTCCGATCCTTTAAGTCCTTGTTGAACAGTTCCTCATTTCTGTAACTTTGCACTCTACTATTCTGCCCAGTACCTTGATGGAGTTTGGCCGGGATTATAATCTACCAGTGAACGCTTAAAGAGATTAAGAGACTACGTAAGTGGTCATGTTTGTCTTTTCCTCATTTATTCAGCAAAAAAAATATATCTCAAGCTTATGCTGTACCACAGAAGTGTGCGGGTCAGTAATCACACAGTTTAAAGGTGGAGTGAACTCTTTACAGTGGTACCTCAGGTTACATATGCTTCAGGTTACAGACTTGCTAACCCAGAAATAGTACCTCAGGTTAAGAACTCTGCTTCAGGATGAGAACAGAAATTGTGCTCCGGCGGCACGGCGGCAGGAGGAGGCCCCATTAGCTAAAGTGGTGCTTCAGGTTAAGAACAGTTTCAGGTTAAGAACGGACCTCCGGAAAGATTTAAGTACTTAACCCGAGGTACCACTGTATTAGCAAAAACACAATCTCCTCAGACTTAGTTGTGTGTCGAGCCTAATGAGCAGAGAAGCTCATTCTTGCTGGTCTTCCTGCATGAAAATCAAAAGCCAAGACTGAAAGTCCCCACCTCCCCACAGCTGTTGAAGTCCCCTCCTCTCCAGGCCTTTTCCCAAGCAACTGGAGACTGCACCTGTAGGCAGCCAAACTCTCCTCCTCCATTTTCATGCCTCTTCTGGTTCTGGGAGATAAGTGGTGAGGGGAGCCTGTTGCAGCAGGAGGTGGAGACACCCGTGACACCCGCCTGACTCTCTGCCTGTCGTCCACCCTCATTCCACTCTCCTGCTTCAGCTTCTGCCTCTGATTCTGGACTTTTCTCTGCCAGACTCTCCCAGCTCACTAAGCCCTGTTACCGCTGCAGCTTCTGCAGCTTCTCTCTCTGACCACTCATCATTGCCCCACTACCACTCCCCAAGCTCCAAGCCTTCTTCCTTGGCTGTTCCCCAGCTGGTTCCTTCTACCATGCCTCTGCTACCAACAAGTCCATGACAAGCTGCCACAATAAAATTGCCTAGATTAGGCTTCCTCAACCTCGGCCCTCCAGATGTTTTTGGCCTACAACTCCCATGATCCCTAGCTAGGACCAGTGGTCAGGGATGATGGGGACTGAAGCTAAAGGTAAAGGATCCCTGGACGGTGAAGTCCAGTCAAGCTTGAGGTTTGGCGCTCATACCGCTTCAGGCTGAGGGAGCTGGCATTTGTCCACAGTTTTCCGGGTCATGTGGCCAGCATGACTAAACCGCATCTGGCACAGTGGAACACCATGACGGAAGCTAAATAACACTTGTTGCTTAACATTTTCCCAACTATTTGCTCCCTGGTTTACAACCTGGGAGATGCACATTGTATTTCCATGGGCGTTGGCATTGGGGAAGGGAGTTACAGAAACATAGAATCACAGTTGGAAGTGACTCCAAGGGTCATCTAGTCCAACCCCCTGCAATGCAGGAATGTGGAAGCGCATGTTTCTTGCACTCAGAAGGTCTCAGGTATAATCCATGGTATCTCCGTATAAAAAGATTAGCTAGCAGGTGATCTGCAGTCCTTTGCCTGGAACCTTGGACTGCCATTACGACCCGGAGTATTATTACTCCTATTACATTTCAATTCCATCCTTTCTCCCAAGGAGCCAAGGGGGCAAACAACAAGCAATGCAACTAAAAATGAAAAACCAGTTTTAAACATTTTAAAAAATATTAAGAACATCTAAAAACTGGTTTCCACATAGCCTCACAGCTCTAATTTCAGTATTGCCAGGACCATGTCTTTCAACCCTCAAATGCCTTGGTGAACAGGAATGATTTTAAGGGTCAGTGAGGACCTAGATGAATAAACAATAATGGTTTCAGCTCATTTGTAGTTATTGCACTCATGGCACATTAGCTTCTAAAGTGCTAACCACTTGTGCAATGCATAGTGAGGAATCACATTTTCCTGCCTTTCTATCACCATTGGGTAATCACAAGCATTGTCAAAACTGGCAATATCATCCTTAGGATTGGGAGGGGGGGACACAAGTGACATTTAAGGGCAGGGTGGTTGTCATCTGTTCAATCCTCCCTGTATTTCAGAACACATTTTCCCCCCTATTATTTAGTTCTTACATGCTCTGGTTAACTCAGACTGGGATATAGATACCATGAGCCACTAGGCTAGAGTGGGTTGTGAACAAAATAAATAACAGAAAGCAGCCACAAATGCCTACTATTTTTTACCCAATATTGCAGCTGAGGGGCCAGGCTTTCTTTCTTTCAACTTTGAAAAAGTCAGGCATTCGTATCCGCCTTTTAGCAGACTGTGAGCTGAGAACATCAACAAGAGCTGTTGGTCTGTTAAAACGACAGTTTTATCTATTCTGCCATGCCCCGCCAGGAAATTTCCAATGGTCCGTGGAAAGTTTACACTGTTAAAACATAATGAAACTTGAGCCAATAATGCAACAAACCTTAACATTAAAAGTTTGAAAAGGAAGCAAAGGGCAATACTTACCGCACAAAGTATCTGGTATTTCCTAAGAGTGCTTCTCTTAACAACGTCCTCTGTTTCTGAGCTCATCAGCTCCATCTTGCTGTCCCCCCTTATTCTTGTTTCATGAGCAGAGCTCATTTCTCAGCTTTCCAGACGGTTATCTGTGCAACTTTGTTTTCTCCCTTTTGGCCTCTTGCCCTTATAGCTCTGCTGCACCCCAAGCGTGTGAATGAGTTCAGAGTCCTTGATTGCCGTGGCATGAGGAAGCAATCAGAACTCTGGAGCCAGCAAATTCAAAGGAAACACATACTTCCAGTAACATTCTGGTGTTTTGATATGTGACATTCAAACGGGAAAAAACAACATAGCGGTGTTCTTAGAGGCAAAAAAGCAAGTGGAACTTAACTGAATAATGCAATGGGGATTTGGTAATACTCAAACAGTAATACTTGAATCAGAATTGATCATTGTTTTCACAGTAACCCTGGAAAGTGAAACTACTTCTCTTTGGGCAAGGTGAAAGAGGCAATGAGTGGATGCTTTAGGGTTTCCATTATTTAAGTAAAATATACCTATATTGCTGTAACCTGCCCTGGGACCTTTTGGTGAAGGGTGGGTAAGAAATCTAATAAACCAACAAAGAAACAATACACTGCCTTTCTGCCACAAGGCATCTAAGCATTCATTTAAAACTAACAGAATAACAGGAACATATACTAATAACAACAGCATCTTTTTAAAAAGCAGGATTTTAAATCAGTTCCCAGAAAAGTCCACCATCTGGGTGCATTATTTACTATTATTACATTTATACTTGCCCTGTGATCTTGAGGTGATGGGTGGTATATAAATTTAATAAATAATATCCCCTGATCTTCCCAGAAGCCAAGGACAGTGTACATACTTCTTCCCTCCCATCAGTGATAGATTAGACTGAGAGCTGATGACAAGATCAAGGGCATCAAGACTGAGGAACCGAGGAAACTGCTTTATACTGTCAAACCATTGGTGTATTGTCTACACACTGACTGCCAGCAGCTCTCCAGGGTTTCAGACAGGGGATATTACAAGCCCTAGCTGGAAATGCTAGGGTAGGCTTCAACCTAGGACCCTCTGCCTGAAAAGGAGATGTTCTACGGCTGAGCTACAGCCCTTCCCAACTCTGAGATTTGAGCTTAATCTCACACTTTAAGCACCACACCACACCAGCCATCTAACCTTTGAAGGTGATGGATACATTGCTCAATACTTATGTTGTTAAACAGAAGGGGATTGGGGACTTGAAATGCCAATGGACACTTGGTAGTGGCTACAGTTATATGTTCCAATGCAAACCATAAGCAGTAGTTTTGAAGGAAAATGCGTACACATTTGTTTTCCGCTTGAATCCAACTTCAACAAGATCAACCATATCTATCCAGGTTCAAGCAAGGTATGCTGTAGATGAAACATGAGCAATGTGGATATGTTGCACAGATTCTGGTCTTGTCCAAGAATAATATCTTTTTGGATGGCCATAATAGGAGTTCATATGTCAGAAGACCCTTTTGTGATCATCTTTGACTACGTTTAAGACTTGTGTCTCAGAAGATAGAAAGATGGTGATATATCTAATTGCAGCTGCCCAAATAGAAATTAACCACAACTAGGAGGAAATTAATCCCCCCACATTGGAGGACCAGATTTCAAAGGTGTGGAAAAGGTGCAAATGGTAAAATTGAGAAACATAAAGCAAGGGAAAGAAGACCACTCAGCAATTGCTTTATTGAGAAATTGAGATTGTTGTTATGTATTGGAGTAATAAAACACAAGATATTTAATCTTCACAGACCAGAGTCCACTTAGTCTGTAAGTATGCAGAGAAAGAAACAACAGCTGGAAACAACGGGACCAAAAGACCACGGCATGCAAGGGTAAAGATTAGCTTGTACCCATATAAATATATACTCCATATGAATTTAGGTCTTAATATCATCCAGTCCAGTCTAGATTAATGAAGCACAAGAAGGTCTTGTTTATGCAGTGTTAATGTTTGTTCTCCATAAGTTTTCAGTCAGTAACAAAGAATAGAAATTCCCACTACATAAATAATCACTGTTGAAAGTGACACTTTCAGTTGAACAACCTGCTGGGAAACAATAGGAAAGAATTACTGCCATCAAGTCCTGCTTACAAGCTATCCATAGGCTTCTGCTTGGCCACTGTGGGAAACAGGATGCCAGATTTGATCTGATCCAGCAGGGGCTCTTCCTCATTAAGAAATAGGCAGAAGCAATTTTTAAAATGAAGGAACAAAAGTAAAACCACGTTATCTACAAACACCAGATGAGCAATTAACTCTCTAATGCAGGAAACAATTAGATCAAGATAAGCCATAAAACATTACAACTACATATGTGTCAGGGAACTGCCATCGGAAGGACAGGAGGTGGAAGGGCTCACTGAGGTTGAGAGAGACTTAGCAGCTGAAGAGGGAACCAGCAGGGGGAGAGAAGGAACTCCAAGGGAAAGTGAGTCGGAGGGATGGCTCAGAGACACTTCCAGCAAAAACAGTGGGGAGGTTTCAAGACCTCCTATAGGGACACCCACTCCTCGCCGGAAACTGTCGCGCTGAGAGTCCAGAAGACGTGTTTCCGTTAAGGAGCTTTTATGCTGGAAGAGATTCCGTAAGCGCCCACTTTCGGATTCTGCTAGTGACTGACGGAGCCATGCTTGAGGGGCTCCGTCGTAGGCAGAGGTTTGCAGATTTGATCAAACTCTGAGGGACTAGGATTTTACACACAAGCAGCTCATCATCCCATCACAGCAATCCGAAAGTCTCTGAAAGCAGCTTGTGCAGGGAGAGGCATCATGAGCAACCCAGCCGAAACCGGAGAAGCAGGAGGAGCTGGAGCGGGTCCAAGCCTGGAAGAAAGGTACAGGGTGTTGGAAGTCCAGCTAGCGCTGCAGACAGCGAGGCTCGAGGAGAGGAGGGCTCAGGATGCAGAAAAGGGAAAAACCACCCCGCTCGCAAGAAAGGTGCCAGGATTGGTGCAGAAGTTTGGGGGGGATCCCAGGAACTATCACGCCTTTAGGACAGAGATGCAATATGCTCTCAATCTGCAGTTTGATGACTTTCCCGACGAGGAGTCGCGAGTGGCTTTTGTGATTGGCCATCTCGAAGCGGGGGCGAAAGACTGGGTTAGGCCCCTGATGGCAGTGAATAATGAGATCCTAAAGGATACGCGGAAGTTTTTTCGCGCCATGGACCTGATGTTTTCCAGCGACATTGAGCAGGGAGTGGTGCGCAGACAGTTAATGGCTTGCAAACAGGGGAGCCGATCTGTCCGTGAGTACTGGACTGAGTTTACCATGTTGATCCATAAATTGGGGTGGGATCTATCGGCGGAGCCCATACAAATGCTTTTCGAAGAAGGGCTTTCTTCGGCGGTGAAAGACGAACTTTCCCGGGCGCCCAGGGCGGAGTCTATGGACCAGCTGACCAAATCCGCGCTGACCATAGGAGCACGCCAGGAGGCGAGAGCTTTGGAAAAGCGGGAAGGGAAAGGGGAACGTTGGAGGGATTTCCGCATTCCCGAGATTCCAGAGCCACCTTTCCCGCCGGCAGAGCCGATGGAAATTGGAACAGCGCGGGCGCGCGCAGTTTCAAATCCCAGTGAAGGGCGGAAGAAGGAGGGGAAGAGCGCCAAGAAATGTTATCTCTGCCAACAGCCAGGTCACTTTGCCAGAGTCTGCCCACAAAGAAAGGAATGGCAAGGGATGGCGGGAGCTGTTGGGGAAAAGGAGGAGGAAGTCAAGGAGCAAGTAAAAGCCAACGCCTGGCTGCCACCATCGGGGCACAGCAGCCAGGCCAAAGAGCAGTGAAAGTGCCCACGCCGGAACCTCCAAGACCTGCTTTAGTGATAGAGGTGTTACTAGAGCTGCCAAACGGACACCCACTAAAGATAAAGGCGCTATTGGACTCAGGCAGCTCCTGTAATTTCATGAGTAAGGAGTTTGCAGCTGAGCACCAGATACAGACTATCCCTTTAAGTAACCCCTTGCAGGTGACCACGATCGATGGGAGGGAGCTGTTGGGAGGAGAAGTTAGCCAACAGACTGTCCCGATGATAATGAGGGTGGCAAGGCACACCGAACGGATAGCGTTTAATGTGGCCACCTTGGGAGGAGCTCCCATTATTTTGGGGATGAGCTGGCTGGCGCTACACGATCCGCTAGTGGGCTGGCATCAGAGAGTGGTCTCCTTTGGGTCAGCGCATTGCCTAGAACACTGCAAAGAGGGGAAGGCTCCGGAAGGGGCCAGAGTCACCCTAGCAGGGATGGAAGTAACGGACAAAGGGAAGGTGCCCCCACAATACGCAGATCTGAGCAACGTATTCAGCGAAAGGGAAGCAGACAAACTGCCGCCACATAGACCCTTTGACTGTCAAATCAATCTACTCCCTGGGGCCCAACTCCCAGTGGGCAAGCTGTACGCTATGTCAGACAGGGAGATGCAGGAGTTAAGTGAGTTCATTGACAAAAACCTGAAGCGAGGTTTCATCAGAGAGTCCCGAGCGGTGGGGGGCAGCCCAGTGTTTTTTGTGGACAAAAAAACCACAGATAAACCGAGGCTTGTAGTGGACTTTCGGGCCCTAAATGCAGTGTCGGAACCTCTGGCTTTCCCTATGCCCCGAATTGATGACATTTTGACTAGGGTGAGGAAGGGAAAGATTTTTACAAAACTGGACCTGCGGGGGGCGTACAACCTGATACGAATAAGGAAGGGGGGTGAATGGAAAACCACCATGTTCACCCCTTTGGGAACCTTTGAATATCTCGTTATGCCCTTCGGTCTACAAGCAGGCTCGGCATGTTTTCAATCATTTATGAACCACGTCCTGGGACCTTTGCTCTACAAGAATTGTGTAGCCTTCTTAGACGACGTGTTGGTATATTCAGAGAATGAGGAGCAGCATGTGAGGGACGTCCGAGAAGTGTTGGGCAAGCTGCAAGCTAACCAGCTGTGGGTGAAACTGGAGAAGTGTCAGTTTCATACCAAGGAGGTGGAATTCCTGGGGTACCGCTTGTCAGACAAGGGATTGGCCATGGATCCAGGCAAGGTCCAAGCGGTACTGGAATGGAAAACACCGAAAACGAAGAAGGATGTGCAAAGATTCCTAGGGTTTGGAAACTTTTATCGGAAGTTCATCAAGAACTTTGCCCACTTGACGGCTCCCATCACTGAC